CTGCATCAGCATCCTATACGGCCCAGCTGGGCTTCTATCCATAGTAGCACCGCGTCGCCACAACTACGTTTCAGCACGGACTGGATAAATTGGTGAGAACTCCTAAAGACTTGAAAATTTTGATAGCCTTCGAAGCAAATCACAGGATTCTTCACTCACGGTGGCTCTCGCGTTGCATGAAAGCCATGACCAGCGGTCCGAGAATCTGTACTTGCCTTGCACCATGCACATACCATGCACTCACGCTTCCAGAGGGGGCCTGCCGATGATGTCGAGGTCTTCGTTGGGCCTGAAAAGTACTTTTCTTGGCCACGTGCCCGATTCAACACTCAATTCATTTGCTACGAGGGCGGCTTTCTGCACTCAAAAAAGATTGAACAAATGGGATGGCATGGTGCCTCGAACGAGGCATGCTGCCCGCGAGACCTCAGGCTCCCATGAACAGAAGTATGTATGACATGCACGGTGGAACAACACTGGCTACTACCTGCAGCAAAGCAACCGGATATCTTCATAACCCTCGCGAGCATCCCGCCTGCCAGACAAGGTCTCTGAGACTTCCTGCACTTGAGGCTTGCGTTCAAACAACCCTGAGCCTGGAGCTCTGATGGCTGACAATACCATCAGCCGGCATGGCTCAGAGACGTGTCAAGGTGGTTGAAGTCGTGAGTGGGATGTAGTTGGGGTACATCGAAAGCAAAACAAAAATCCGTCAATGCTAATATTCCAGACTGCACAGCGGCATGACGACCTATAGGCCCACCAGACTCAAGCCAAAAGCAGCGGAAGGCAATCTGAGGTAAATATCACCATACAAACCGCTGCCAAATGTTTGTCGGGATGGTGTTACGCGCGGCGGGATTTGCGCGCCTGAAGGCTTCCCATAACAAGTGCCCGCACACCACGTGAGGGTTTGGAAATCGGGCTATGTAGAGGCCAAGCCTTACTATGGCCTGATGAGTACGGCATGGTAGATCGTCTTCCTTGCTCTGACGACCTTGGCGTGCTGCGATGACGCGAGTACTGCGTTGACTATGTTTCCATACCAAAACGTTCACAGCAGTGTCGAAAGCGGCAGGGAGAGGAGGCTGATCGCAAAGGCACAGGGTGGACCACCCCAGCACGAAGGCAGAGATGGAGTAGGAAAGTAGCAGCTTCCGTGCACCACCTGCAGCCAGTTTCTGTGCCCAGCACGAGGAGCCAGCAGCGTCCGGAGTTGCCGTTCGCCGCAAAAAGGCCACACGAAGGTGGTGCCAACCGCAAGCTGAAGCCCTTCCCAGCGTCTCTGGTTTAGAAGTGCTCCTACAGGGGTTAGCAGACCAGATCTTTAAAGGGTTGTTCCTCTTGAGATCAATTCGTTCCTGACGGCGCTGCCTCCCTCACTTATGCTTGCAACCAGCCGCCCTTGTTTGCTGCCTCTGAGATGGGTCAAGCCGCTCCCTACACAAACCGTGGCAGGTTCTTCTGCCCACCACTGACTGTGAAGCCCAGGGCTTGTTACTCAGCTGCAAGACCCCCCGACGACGTAATAAGCCTACGAGTCCTACGGACGTGAAACAGTTGACCTCGAAGCCTGCGCAGAGGTTACAATCCTTCACTCATCGATCTTCGGTGCGAGGTAGAACTTCATGTGGCCCTTGTCCTCCGTCTCGAGGTCGTACTGCACCAACAGGGGGGCATCCGGTGCAAAGCCCAGGGTGACGGAACCGCAGAGCGGTGAAGCCTTCGAGAAGTTCACCAGGTAGCGCAAGGCGAAAGCAGCCGTAACGGGCTCGTGCACCGTGAGGGACACCTTCTCCTCGGGCTTCTCAGTCTCCCGTGGCTTCAGCAGCACGTTGCCGCTGCCGATGTCGCCGGACACCACGAACTTCAAGCCGTCCTTGTCGCCAGTCAAATGCAGAGTCTCGCCAAACTCCTTCAAATCCCTGCAGATCTTCTGGAACTCACTCGACGGGAGCTTTGCAACCACCTTGTAATGCTGCTCGGGAATTTCCATGTGCTCGTTCTCGATCTGGAACAACTTCAAGTCAAACTCCGAGATGCGGTCGTCCGAGCCCTCGCACTGGAAGTTCACCACGTCCGTGTCGCCCTTGTGACGGATCTTCAGCGTGTCGCTGGGCCCCGTCATCTTTAAGATCTTGGTTAGGGAGTCTACGTTCATTCCCAGCGACACCGGCCGGTCACACTTGAACTCGGCGAACGCCGCCTCACGAAAGTTCAGCGACACCAGCGCCACGTGGGAGCTGTCCATGCTCTGCACTTGCATGCCCTTCTCTGAACAATCGAAGTTCACCTCCTTGCACAGGTCCTTCATAGACTCCGCCACCTTCTTGAAGAGGCCTGCTTGCTGCAGCTGCGCGTCGAGGACCATGGCCATGTTTAGCGAGGAAGGGAGAGGGAAGGCTAACAAAGGCAAGGCGTGCTGCTCGAGGCTGCCACCGGGACGTGTTCGACGGCCTGCCAAGTCCCTTCAGCCTGTCACTCCGAAATCGCGAATCCCTGTCAAACTCGCTGCTCGTGTCGGTAATGACTGCCTCAACTGCAGACAAACGTTTAACGCAACCAGCCGCCCTTGTTTGCTGCCTCTGAGATGGGTCAAGCCGCTCCCTACACAAACCGTGGCAGGTTCTTCTGCCCACCACTGACTGTGAAGCCCAGGGCTTGTTACTCAGCTGCAAGACCCCCCGACGACGTAATAAGCCTACGAGTCCTACGGACGTGAAACAGTTGACCTCGAAGCCTGCGCAGAGGTTACAATCCTTCACTCATCGATCTTCGGTGCGAGGTAGAACTTCATGTGGCCCTTGTCCTCCGTCTCGAGGTCGTACTGCACCAACAGGGGGGCATCCGGTGCAAAGCCCAGGGTGACGGAACCGCAGAGCGGTGAAGCCTTCGAGAAGTTCACCAGGTAGCGCAAGGCGAAAGCAGCCGTAACGGGCTCGTGCACCGTGAGGGACACCTTCTCCTCGGGCTTCTCAGTCTCCCGTGGCTTCAGCAGCACGTTGCCGCTGCCGATGTCGCCGGACACCACGAACTTCAAGCCGTCCTTGTCGCCAGTCAAATGCAGAGTCTCGCCAAACTCCTTCAAATCCCTGCAGATCTTCTGGAACTCACTCGACGGGAGCTTTGCAACCACCTTGTAATGCTGCTCGGGAATTTCCATGTGCTCGTTCTCGATCTGGAACAACTTCAAGTCAAACTCCGAGATGCGGTCGTCCGAGCCCTCGCACTGGAAGTTCACCACGTCCGTGTCGCCCTTGTGACGGATCTTCAGCGTGTCGCTGGGCCCCGTCATCTTTAAGATCTTGGTTAGGGAGTCTACGTTCATTCCCAGCGACACCGGCCGGTCACACTTGAACTCGGCGAACGCCGCCTCACGAAAGTTCAGCGACACCAGCGCCACGTGGGAGCTGTCCATGCTCTGCACTTGCATGCCCTTCTCTGAACAATCGAAGTTCACCTCCTTGCACAGGTCCTTCATAGACTCCGCCACCTTCTTGAAGAGGCCTGCTTGCTGCAGCTGCGCGTCGAGGACCATGGCCATGTTTAGCGAGGAAGGGAGAGGGAAGGCTAACAAAGGCAAGGCGTGCTGCTCGAGGCTGCCACCGGGACGTGTTCGACGGCCTGCCAAGTCCCTTCAGCCTGTCACTCCGAAATCGCGAATCCCTGTCAAACTCGCTGCTCGTGTCGGTAATGACTGCCTCAACTGCAGACAAACGTTGAACGCAACCAGCCGCCCTTGTTTGCTGCCTCTGAGATGGGTCAAGCCGCTCCCTACACAAACCGTGGCAGGTTCTTCTGCCCACCACTGACTGTGAAGCCCAGGGCTTGTTACTCAGCTGCAAGACCCCCCGACGACGTAATAAGCCTACGAGTCCTACGGACGTGAAACAGTTGACCTCGAAGCCTGCGCAGAGGTTACAATCCTTCACTCATCGATCTTCGGTGCGAGGTAGAACTTCATGTGGCCCTTGTCCTCCGTCTCGAGGTCGTACTGCACCAACAGGGGGGCATCCGGTGCAAAGCCCAGGGTGACGGAACCGCAGAGCGGTGAAGCCTTCGAGAAGTGTTCGTTGTGCTGCCATGGCTTGGGTCTACAAAGTTCTTGAATTGATTCTTTTGGGGTGTTCGGGTTGTGCCATTGTGGCACAAGGCCAGAGCTGTGAACCTGGCGGCAGAAAGCCGGTGGGCTGACGGAGTAGCATCGAAGAGCTGCTTCAAGCATGGCTGCACCTATTCTGCTTTTTACACATCATCCGGCGAACAGTCATGAGCAGCTACCCATCATGATTTCGCCCTAAACTGCTGGGAGCTCATGCACTCCGCAGCGTCTCCTATGCCTTCCTGCTGCTCGTACATAATCTCTGGGTACAGAACCTTGAAGCAACGAGCTGCCCGTCGGGCAGCATGTCTGCCTAGAAAGCCCAAATGAAAAAAGGCAGCCTATTCGGCAAGGCACACCTAATGTGCTTGATAGGTGCGCCTTACAGAAACATCTCCACTTGGCAAAAGCAGCTTGCCCAGCAAAGCTCATGTTTTCTGGGGCTTCACCTTGGCAAATCGCTGTAGTCGACCATAGCCCATGAGTAAATCCAAGAATCACAGCTTCTTGATTCAGAGTGCCTCCATCCAGTCGGAGACAAGCAAACGTTGCAACGGCCGGGGGGCAGACACTCTGCCATCTCTTCTTCTCATCTTTCTTGTAGAAGCCTGCAAGAGTGGTATGTCTGAAACTGGAACTCGCTGAAACTGGGGCCTCGGCCCATGGCAACCTGCTGTGCAGCTGGAAACAGAGGCCCCGTCTGATCGTGATGCGCCCCTTGGCCCGATCCACCTGCATGAGCAGTTCTTGCTAAACTGCGGCGAATCCAGTGCGAATTGGAAGGCATGACCTTGTAGGTGCACTTCTCCAGTACGAGGTCCGACTCTCCAACCTGTCGCATCGTTGAGTCGGGCAGGAGTTCGGCCTCACGCCGCAGAAACTTGGGCCGCTACCAATGTCAGCGCACGGCGCTCCACTGCCAAGCCGTCACTGCCGGGCACAGCCACACGAATCGAGCAGCTCCTGGTGAGAATAATGAAATGCCAGACAAGTGGTGTCGGCATCGTGACCTGCCGGCACAAAGCCCGCATCACGACGCTCAGCCCTGGCACACGGCCGTCCTCTCGAAGAAGGAGACAACCACAGCAGCCTTGCCCCAGATGACAGCCACGATTATACTGAGACTCCCGTTTGCAGTGGGGGCAAAAGCAGTAGGCAGCTGCACTGGTTGGCACATGCTGCAAAGTGCCAGGCACAGGTATTGGAGGCTTGCACTGTGCACTCTGCAATATCATAAATATGGATATAGAATATAGATAGATAGATAGGTCGATGGATAGCCCTGCCTCGTGAGTTGTAGAAACTCCTTCTTCCGAGGTCTGCCTCTCCAGCACCTCCTTCTCCACATCCACGTACACCTGCCGCAAGTTACTTTAGTGGCCGAAATAATTAGGATAGGGTTTTGGGGCCCATTATACTATATTCATAACCAGGAACCCGAAAAATCGCTTTGCCTATTATTAAGGCCCCTATAGTATAGAACCCCAAAAAAGATCCCTGATAGAGCCCTTTAAAGGCCCCTACATCAGGAGCTTCCGGTCTCTGGCTAGAAGCCAAGCCGATGGGATGATTCACCCCGATCGGTTTATGGCAATCTGAGCCAACCAAGTCCGTTCTGAGCTACGTCGTTCTGAGCTAATGTAGGAACGAACCCTGGGCCTATAACACCACAACAGTCGGATTCACATAATGAGCCCTAATAAAGGCCCAAGGTTTCTTAATCAGGTTCCTACATTACTTCTGCGGCTAGGGAAAGGACTGTTGATTCCATGATCTCCCGTGAAGAAAATCACACAGGGCCACAAGATCAACACCAGTTGAGCATTTTGTCAGCTGCTCTCGGCGCCAGCCTCCTCGGGGAATCCGCAAGTTACAACCGATCCATCTGCTAAGACTGCAGCAAAAGCGCGCTTGGAAGCCTGAATCTGCTGCACATGCAGCAGCCTATCTTGAAGAGCACTGCAGTCGCCCCCGTAGCCTGCATCGCCCCAAGTTACCATCCGTCCATCTCGAAGGAGAGCAGCAAAGGCTCGCTCAGACGCCTGGATCTGCTGCACATCGCGGAGCAGGTGCTGGACAGCGCTGCTGTCGCCCCCGGCCCCATCCGATCCCCAGGTAACGACAGATCCATCTCCACAAATGGCAGCAAAGGCCTGGCTCGATGCTTGTATGTGCCGCACATCTCTCAACTGAGCTTGCAGACCAGCTGACAAGACCCCGACCGGACCCCAGCCCACCACACGTCCATCATGCCGGATGGCCGCAAAAGAGCTCTGGCATGCTTGGATCTGCCGTACACCTTGCAGCTGTTGCTGAACCGCCCGGAACTGCTCCAGCACTAGGTCTCTGCTGATCTTGTGGTAACCCCACGTCACCACAGATCCATCAAGGAGAATTGCAGCAAACGCCGTGTCAGATGCTTGAACGCGTTCGACATTCTTCAGAAGCGTCTGGACAGAAGTGCTGTCCCCTCCATGGTCGGCACAACCCCAAGTGACGACGGATCCATCATGCCGAATTGCGGCGAATGCTCTTCCTGACGCTTGGATCTGTCGTACTTGCGTAAGCTGCTGCCGCACTGCAGCGCTGTCCCCGCCATAGTCTGGATGACCCCAGGTGGTCACTAACCCGCTGGCATGGATCGCGGCGAAGGCACCTCTCGAAGCCTGAATGCAGCTGACGTCCACTAGCAGATCCTGGACGGCGGCGCAATCACCACCATTCTGAGAGGATCCCCAACACAACACCGATCCACCTGCCAGGATGGCTGCAAAGGCACGCTCAGAGGCTTGAACTTGCTGGACATCTCGGAGCTCCTCCTGCACAGACCTGCATCCACCTCCAAAGGCACGGGAACCCCAGGTGACCACCTAGGTGGGGCTTTTAAAGCCTTTGAAAAATATTTAGTAAATAAGATAAGCCCAATAAGGGAAAATAAATAATGTCCCAAAGCCCGACCTAGCCACAGCTCCGTTTCGCAGGATGGCGGCAAAGGCGCGCTCTGTCGCTTGCACACGTGCTACCTCCATCAACAGCGGCTGCACCACTCCACTGTCCCCACCCCAAGCATCGCTACCCCATGTTACGACAGAGCCACCCGCAAAGATTTTAGCGAAGGCATACCCAGAAGCCGCCACTGCCTCTTGCCCCAGCAAAGCAAAGACCGTTTCCATGTCATGGAGGCCCACTTCAGCTATGGTAGCTGTCCTGTGCAGCGCTCTCCCGTCCTCGCCCATGAGTCTGTTCACAATTGCTCCGAGCTGCTGCTGCGACTGCTCCATGAGCACCTCGACGGTGCAGCTCGGCTCCAGCTGAACATGCACCTGATTCCCGCTCAGGAGGGCCACGTGAATGCAAAGCGACATGGGCTCAAGTCGGCCCACGACAATGGAGCTGTCGTCGGCGCAGCGGAACTACTGACCAGCGAGAAGTTTCTTTTAAATCCATCGGAACCGCAAGCAGCCATTAACCAAACCAAGCGATTCTGTGGAGCCTGGCATTCCACCGGCACACGTAGAGTCACGGGAGCGTTACATGCATCTCGGGACCTGTTCAAGATCCAGGCAGAGAGTAAGGCAAATCTTACCTAAAAGAACCTGCATACAATATATGATGCTGTATGTGATACAAAGTATACAGTAAGTATATGAGGCATGTAACTCAACAGACAGACCGGCTGAAGCCAGGGCGTCACATGGCGACAACTTTCGCCCCATGAAGGCTTCGAAGGTTCACAGTCAGCTCGAGGCTTGCGTAGGTTGAAGCAACTCCCTTGTTGCATCATATGGGAGTTTCCGAAAATAGGGGACCCTAATATAGTACCCCAAATATTAATATAAGGACCCCAAAGTAAGGTGCCCCTAATTTTCTGAAACTCCCATATCTTAAGGGTTTTTTGCCTCCTGCGTCTCTTCGGTTTTAGGGTGTAGGTTTACGAAGCTGTCCCCCCCCCCGTATCTTTTACAATAAGTTACCATTACCGCTGTCGCACCACAAAAGATCTCCCAGACCATATATTACGAATTTGACGGCAAGGTACTAAAGACAGAGCCATATTGCGTATGGCAGCTTGCAAAAGTAATCGTTTCCAAGCAGAAGATTTGAAAGCCAGCACTGCACACGAGGTCGAAAGAGTGGAGATAGAAAACCTAGCAGGGAGTATGGCGTAATTCGACGGTTCGAGTTCGGAATAAGCAGTCTGGAAGAGGACAGTACCGATCTTTCAGGGCAGAAGGGTAAACTGCTCCAAGAGCTCGCGTGATGAAGCAGTCATGCAAGTCGACGATGATGCAGATTCACAGGGGTACGAATTAGCCGCTTAAACCGCCAGGCTGCAAAGCCATTCAAGCACCTTTATTCTCACAGTACCATCTGTCTCACTACGTCAAAGGACCGTCTATTATCCAAACATGATGTCATGCTCGTTGAATCCAACCTCGCCTGGTAGTAGGAGCGGTAGCAGTCGTCGTGGTGGTAATAGTAGTAGTAGTAGTAGTAGTAGTAGTAGTAGTAGTAGTAGTAGTAGTAGTAGTAGTAGTAGTAGTAGTAGTAGTAGTAGTAGTAGTAGTAGTAGTAGTAGTAGTTAGTAGTAGTTAGGAGTAGTAGTAGTAGTAGTAGTAGTAGTAGTAGTAGTAGTAGTAGTAGTAGTAGTAGTAGTAGTAATAGTAGTAGTAGTAGTAGTAGTTTTGTCGTAGTAGTAGTAGTAGTATGTTGTAAGCAGCAGCAGCAGCACTAGCAGCAGTAGTAGTAGCAGTAGTAGCAGCAGCAGTAGCCGCAATAATAGCAGAGTAGAGCAGCAGGAGCACAAACAGAAGCAGCAGCAGTAGGAATACTAGCATTAGTACAAGCACAAAAGAAATCAACATAACAGTTGGCAGCAGCAGTAGCAGTAGTAGCAGCAGCAGCAGAAGCAGCAGGAGCAGTAGCAGCGGCAGTAGCAGTAGCCGAGCAGTTGCTCTAGCAATCGTCGTCGTCGTCGCGGTTGTGGTAGTGGTGCGGCAAGGCGGCGGTAGTGGTAGTCAGGTGGTAGTCAAAGTTCTCCTCGTTGTCGCGATGGAGGTGGTTAGTGCAGAGTATACTAGTGCTAGGTAGTCGCAGTGGAAGTCGTAGTCGTAGTCCTCACCGGCGTCGTCGTACAAGTAGTAGTCGTGTTGACAACGGAGCAGACCCGCCTTGCACTTCACACCCTCGTCGCTGAAAGAAAACTGGGTGATCGGCTGCGCCATGGGACGAGCTTGCATCAGCTGGCCTGAACCAGGATATACGATGAGCTTGGGGGACCGGGTGAAGCTGATCGAGCGATGGACCTTCGGTAGTGATGGGACTTGACAATTAAGTTGACAAACCTTAGAACTGCACGGTGTGCTTACAGCAATCTCTCCCACTTATGGCGTGCAGGACAAATGCCTACGCAGACAACGTAGTCGGACACTGCACTTCCTCCAGTCCATGGAGCCATACATGTTAGTATGTGCATGAAGGGAAGTATGAGTATCACAGGGCATGCCCACTTCAACCCATAGCCCTGTCTCTCGTGCAAACACCCGGCCCAAACCTGCTCCCTGGAAGGCTGTCCAGATCTCTGACGAGAGCCGCATCACTGAAGCCCCCTAAACCCTAAGACCCTGAAATCCCAAAAAAACGAGAAGCCCTGAAGCCCAAAGTCTACACCCACGGACCCTCGTCACTAACCAAATCCGTAAACCCGAAGCCCTGGATCCTTTTTGATATGCCCCAGATCTATACTGAACTTCGCACCCCTGCAAAATTTTGAGTTTTGTATCTGTTTCTTAGGGATTCTCGCAACCCAAAACTTAAGAGTTGCTTCCAAGGAAACCCCTAAACCCTAAACCCTAAACCCTAAACCCCTAAACCCCTAAACCCCTAAACCCTAAACCCTAAAACCCTAAACCCCTAAACCCGAAACCCTAAAAACCCTAAACCCCTAAACCCTAAACCCTAAAAACCCTAAGACACCCCTAAGACACCCCCTCCTGGAGGAGCCTTCGAGCTCTTCGACCCTCCGCCGCAACTCCGCCACCACCTCGGCCGAAGCCCCGGCGCCTCGGCGGCCGAGGAAAGGACGGTTTAGGGTTTAGGGTTTGGTTTAGGGTTTAGGGTTTTTTTTTTTTTTTGAACGCCTTTTTCCATCCAGCAGAGTCTGCAAGAAGGGAATCCCGGTTGGGAAAGCGTCTTAGACCCTCCAACTAGCCCTCACATTGGTCACGTTCATGTACTTCTGCATAGAGATCACGAGGCGGCACAACCCCACTGGACGTGTCCCCAGAATCGTCGTCCAAACCTGTAGACAACTGCGTCGCTGGAGGGTCAGCCACAAGCCCCGTAGCAACCACCTCCACCGAGTGGCCCGACTCACTGAGTTCCATAACCCCTTCGGCAGCTTGTAGATGACCCCATCCCTGGACTGGCGGAGGCTCGTGTGGAGGAACACCCTGCAGTGGAATGTCGATGACCATCCCTCCATCTGGCCCCGGACGTGTAGGTGGAAGCTCGCCATTAACCCTCTGGGCGGTCATGATGTTGAGGACCGCGAGGCCATGCTTGTTCATGATCTGTGTCTCCTTGAGCCACCCATCTTTCCAGAGCCCGTATGCACGTTCATATTCACCATATCCAAGGGGACCCAGCATAAGCTCATCGTCGGGAGAGTCGTCTTGAGACACTGGTAGAGGTCTGGCAGGCACCCCTTCAGTCGTGGCGAATTGGGCTTCAAAGTAGCCCAGGAGCGCCTTCCCGTATAAGTTCACCACCTGCTTGTCGTTGAGAAGTCCGCCCAACCATCTTTCGTACAGCTGCGCATACTGTCCGTAATCCAGTTGCGGTTCAGCGTCAGCCTCTTGACGTGCGCGAACCTGTAGGTCACGACAACGGCGTTTGGTGTCCGGCGTAAGTTGCGTAGCGACTTCATCCGGGTCGGTCATACTTTCCGTAGTCACTCGGATTGCCAGGTCCAGGCTCCCGGAAGAAGGGACCTCCATACGCCATTCCCGGCCCAGGCCAGGCCCTGTCGAACTCCCAGACGTAGTCACCTTTGCAGAGACCTGAACCACAATCTGACGGGCTCGCTGCTCGGACTCGACGTGCCTGGCAAGAGCTCTGTCCATTTCCCATTGTTCCCAGTCACGGTAGTTAGACGCCTGGTGTTGGAGGACCGCCTGCTCCTGTGCCTTCATGAAGTAGTACTCGGCTGTGGCATCCGAGTCCAGCCTCGTCTCCTCCGTGTGCCCCCGCAGTTGCCCTTCAGCTTCTTCAGCGGCCGCCAAGAGGGCCCTTTCATCGAGGGAGTCATTGAGGATGTTCTCCGGCTCCATCCGCAGCCCCGGTACATGAGAGGCCAACGAACTGATCCAAACTGATGTCCAACAGTCACAGCCATCGTTCCCCGAACTCCCCGCAGCCACATGGGGCTCAGCCATGGCCAGTAAAAGAGCCTGGAGCTGAGCAGCAGGTCCATCCTCTGGCATAGGCCCCAGGCGTCGAACATGCCCCAAAAGACAGTTTACATGATGCCCTCGCGTCACTTCTTCTTGCCCAGCCAGCTCGCTCTGCAGGCGCGTCAGGAGCCGTTGCCACTTCTCGTGGATGGAGTCCCGTTTGATGCCATCCAGTGTCGTCTGCATAAAGCCGGCTTCATCCTCCTCGACCGGCACCTCGACCGTGTCCGCCTCTGGTTCAGGTTCACGTTCAGCGAGGTCCACCATCTGCAGGCAGGCTTCGTGACAAAGCTCGCCTAACTCCACCATGATGGCTCTGATAAAACTGACAACCCCGATGCTGAGGACGGCCCGGTCGGCTTCAGACCTGTCCCTGAGCAACATCAGCACATGCCTGTACCTGGCATTTTCAATGATAGGACCACCATGGGACACAGGGAGTCCATCACTGCCTTCGGGAACCAGAATGTGTCGCCGCCAAAACTCCATCGCGTCGGTGACATCAATGCTGGGCCCGGTGCTGGCACTGGGACCTGAGGACCCCGAAGCTCCCGAGAATGGCGCAGTCGAAGAAGAGGGACGCGCCAGCCCAGGATATCTGATCCGAGGGGTCGACCGAGCAGATTCCCGCAAACGTGGATTCCGATTTGGATCCCTCCACCTTCCTCCACCATGTGCGTCCGATGGGGCAGGCCGGATGTGTACTGGTCGCCGTTCCAGGACCCGACGGCGGTTGGCAGGCCCATCCCTGTGGCGACGTGGACCAGCATGCCTCCCCCACAGCCCATAGATCTGGATCTGCCATCCCTTCCTCGTCCACCCCTGACGTCCATCAGGCTAGAGGTGTCGGCCTCCAAGTTCGCATCCTCCTCCATCTCAGTCACCTCTTCCGCCAACCATTGTTCCCGAACACGTCGATGTGGGGAGCGAGAACGCGACAGCCCCCTCCTTTCCTCTGCCTCTGCGTCCCGGAGGGCGACCGAGAGCTCCACATGACCATAACCCGCATTTAGGAACCATTCTTCCTCACGTTGATTCTGCATGGCAATGGGGCAGATAGCCCACAACCACTTCCGCTTAAGCCTCCGGATGATGGCATCCACTATGTCCTCGCACTCTTCGTCATGAGGCACAGGCAATGCCTGAGCTGGGTCCAGTGGTATAGGCTGGTGGATGTGCAGCGCCCGGCTCAACCCGTTGACATACAGCAGGGTGTCTTCAATGAAGCGGTTGTCGTCATCCATGCGTAGCCGGTGGTGTAAGCGACGTGAGAGGTCCTTTCCATCCCTCCCTCTGTCCATCAGCCCTCTGACGTCATCAATCATGTCCCACCACCATTGAGGCACAGGCCCTCCACCAAAGGGTTCATCGAAGCCAGCTGCCAGAGTAGGAGTAAACAGCATCAGTTTGACCGAGAAGACCGACAAAGCATCTTCTTCATCATCATCCACAGTTCCATGCTGCACCTCATCCCGATCCCTCAGGCTGCACTTCCCCAGGGTTGCTGCTCGTCAGAGGCCTTGCTAAGTAGTAGCCACCAGGCAGTACTTCCACCGCCTGAAAAAGCCCATATGGGTACTCCGAGGCGCTCGCAGTCGCCGAAGAACCGGTAGTTGAGCACCATGACATAGAGGCCCTGTCTCCGCCGTGTAGATCCGTAAAGACCCCTTGAGCCCATTGCAGGCATTCCTCTTCTTCAGCAGGAGATGGCTCACGAGCACCTTCACGACTCGAGTCTTCCAAGATGTAGGGTAGCGCCCGCTTGGCCCCCTGGTGCCCGGCCGAAGTGGCAGAGCGGAGCAGATCCCGTAGCGCAAGGGCTGCACACTTGTGTAGGCCTCGGTCGCGAAACTGCCGGAAAGCCCCTTGCGCCTCAGACAGCCAGCGCGGAACCTCAGTGCTTGTTGGGGTGCCGCTCGCCTGCTGCATGAAAGACGATACCTCAGAGTCGCCAACAGCAGAGTCAATGAGGCCTGGTCCCTCGGCTGATGTGAGCCACCCTTTACCCTGTGAATGTCCTGGAGCCATGCCCTCGTGAAACCCCAGGAGGTACTGCACCCGCCGACCTTGAGGTTCTTGCGCCGGTCCATTACCAGGAAGGACTGGTTCTCCCACCACGCCAGTCGCCGGCAGGCCCAATCCCCAGGTACCACCATATGAAGTAACATGACCGTGTGAAAGTCCTGAAAACATGCCCTCGTGAAACATCAGTGGGTACACCTTCCGCCGACCGCGATCATCTCTCGTCGAATCGCTGACTCCAGGCGGAAGAGCATCCAGACCATGCGAAGGAGACGTAGAGGGGAAGGTCCCCCCAAAACGCTCCAGTACCAAGTAGCGTTGACCATCACGGAAAACACTTGCACAGCTCCCACAGAGAGCAAAACTCGCCCAAAGGCGAGACCACAAAAGGAAGCTGCCCATGTTAGCAGCGGCGGCTGGAGCTGCGAGAGTTGCCAACAGACTCGAGCGCTAAAATCAGGGGTTCAGCCTTCACAACAGCACTCGGACATGGCCCTCAAGCTACCCTGTACAGACCAGCACACACTGACCACTATGCGGGCCTAAAAGTCATTAACAATGCTCAGTTGACGCCCCGACGACCACGGAAGATCCATGTGTTCGACCCAACGTTGTTCGCCCGCACGCCATGCAACCCTATCCCTCGCCACCGTTCGCCAATCCCCACCTGCAGCTGCATCCAGGCTCTGTTCTAGGAGTGTCAGGCGAGCGTAGTGTTTGCCATGGTGTTTAATTCCATCCCGTCGATGCTTTTCAACCCTCCACCATCCCAAAGACCGGAACCCTTCCAGCACTGTGCTGATACATGGATGCGGACGGTCTGCAGCCCTTGCACGATGCCCAGCAAATTGCCAGTACCTCCTGAGCCAAATGGTGGACCAACGCTCACACTTAGCATTGTTGAGCACGGCACGGGCCGAACGATAGGCACGCTGTCGGAAGGTTGTCCAGGTTTCATCCCCACGACGACCAAGACGTAGTAGCCACACAAGAAGCTGTAACTGCACACTGTTCAACATGGACATAGCAGCCTTGTCCGGAGGTATCGACGCGATACACCACAATGCAGAGGCCCCGACGATGCGCTGCATAACCCTGACCCTCGAGTACAGCTGCCCTGAGCCCGTAGGATATGCCGGATCTCCCAGAACTTCGCGCGGCACCTAGTCGCAAGGGGGGAAACCAGTGCACAGATCGACTGCCCAACCTGAAGCCGGAGGCCCATCACAGAGGTGGTCGCTCGCGTGTAGAACTTGACCCTCAACTCGAAGGAGCGGCGGTCCAGGGCAGCACGGGGCGCAGTATAACTGACACTTCGCGAGATTCACCTTCAAGCCGTACCTCAGAAGTACCCTGGACAGTTCAGACACACGCTGCTGCAACGCCTTAGTACCCAGGGTCCACAACACACCATCATCCATGAAGAGGGCAGCATCGGGGCAGGAGAGGTCGGGGTAGAGGCGCTGCCTCTGCATCCAGTCATACTCAACTTCAGCATCTCGGACTGCAAGTTCCATGAGCATCGAGAAGAAGGCTGGACTTTCGATCCCACCCTGCTTGATTCCCTTCCCAATGTTGATGGTAGACTCTCCAAAGGGCGTAGAGAGGGTGGCCGCGTTGTTGGCCAGGAGGCTTTTCCAGCACTGGAGCTCTGGTCCCGGACCCAGTTTCTGAGCCAACTTTGCCACCAACACATCCCTGTCAACATCGTCAAAGGCACGACTGATATCCACCTTAAGCGCCGCCATACCCCCCTGCCACTCACGTTCTAATTCAAAAAGCCGGATCAAGGAGTAGGTAAAGTCATTGGTTTGACGATGTACCCCTGCACATTGAGGAGGATATTGAAGCTGGATCTTCTCAAGACAACGATTAAGCAGAAGGCGGCTGAAAAGTTTCCCCACTGAGGACCCCAGTGCAATCGGACGAAGTTCACGAGGGCACCGCGGGTGCAAGACCTTAGGGAGCATCACGAGGAGTGGCTCGTTCCACTCGGTGGGCACCTCTTGCGAAACCAAAACGCGATTGAAGAATTCAACCACATGCTCCGCCCCGCCCTCCGCATGACAGATCCCTTCGAGGAGTTCCCTGGACGTGAAGTCCTTTCCGGCCGCCTTGCGCCCCTTGAGCTGCCTTATTCCGACCCATAGCTCCTCAATAGTGAACCCTCGGACCTCTTCATCAGACCGATGGACAACGGGATCCCGGCGATGACTCGAATCGACCCCTTGAAAGTGCCGGTGAATCGCTTCATGAGGGTCACCTTGCTGATGAAGTGCAAACTCCACGTCCCAACCCTCATTTCGCGCCCCTTTGACTTCCCTGATGGCGTCCCAGTCGCCCCCCGCAGCCCTCTGCAGTCGCTCGGCCTCCCACGCCTTCCGTGCAACCTTCCTCGCCTTGAGCGCCGCCTTCCAAAGAGCAGGTGTACCCCTTTGTTTAGCCTTCTTGAACAGCTCTCGTACTTCGGGCGGGTCCCTGTAGGCCCGGCTGGGGGCTGGCTTGGTATGGGTGGACGCAAAATCCGCCAATGTGGGCTGATCAATGTGGTTCACAATCCCAAAGGTCCCACAAACGACCCTAGCCCTTGTACACCGTCTAGGAATTCTGCGGCACCACGTAGAGCGAAAACAGCCATGTAGGAGCTCATGATCGGTTCCCCCCGCAAGGTAGGAGTCCACATGGATGTGAGTGCCATTCGCATGCAACCCTTTACTCGCAAAGATATCGATGTGCTGTCCTGTGCGCCCGGCTTGACGAGGGCGACATGTCGGAGTGGAGAGCTGCCCCTCCACTGGAGCAATCATCACCAGACCCTTGTCATGAAGCGCTTTCTGTAGCAGACCCCCTTTTCCCTCACGAGCAACCGCCGTAACTGAAGCACGTTCTTGAATCCACTGGAAAGGCGTGTTGACATCACCTTGAAAAACGACCCGTTTGGCACTAGCGGGCAACGCCTGAAAGTGATCTTCAACCTCCGACTCGAACACAGCCACCGTAGACCCCGGGGTGAGGTGCGCCGTGCCGACCCACAAGACATCCTCCGAAGCTGAGATAGATCGCAGCCTGAACCAAGTTCCTTTGGCAGTGCAAACCCGTCTGGTCAAACACCACGCATCAGCACAATACATCAGCCCTGACCCTCGCCATGCTTCCCCATGCCTGTGAGTGACCACTGTCCAACTACCATGCTTCTCGACCGCCCACCCCTGCACTCCCCTGGGATATTCCTGAAGGAGCAGCAAGGAGTCCTTTTCCATCCGCAAAGGGGCGGCATCTGCAATGGTGCGCGGAAGGTCTTGGACCTCCACACCTCCGAGGTTCCAGCCGAGAACCCTGAGCTCGCTGTCACAGTCTTCAGCCTCGAACCCATCAGTTCAGCGCCTCGAATCTTCAAGGGCCTGTTTGACCTCTTTCTCCTTCTGTTTGAGCCCTGCCGCAAGCAACTTGAAGGAAACCCATGGTTTGGCATCTTGATCTTCACGAACAATGACCCCTCGCATATCCGTGCCAGGCGGCACAGGAAGGTCCGAGGAAGCCACCAGGGCGTCTTCGCACCATACCGATCCGGTCTGCCACTCGATGTCCAGGTTGACCTCCGTGATATCAAGCAAACTCGCCGAAGCTCGCTTCACCCACCCTGCATGCGATCCTTTCTCGCGCTCGGCTTTGCTTTTCGAATAACTGCACCAAATCCGTCCTCCCTGCTTATTGGTGATGTTGCCCGAGCTAAATGCAAGCACGATTTTGTGCATGCGGGATCGCATGTCCTGGAAGCTCTCACCAGCCCTTTGCTGAAAGCCCGACAAAGCCATGCTCCGTCTCGCCCCTGTTGTGAACGGTTCATGATCAACAAGAGAAGCGACACCCAAGGTATCAAGGTGTTCCTGGAGCTCCTGCAAGATGACCTTTCTGCGACTCTCCCGGGGCCATCCCCCATACACAAGGGTCCTTGCCCGTCTTGCCCCATCATCACCTCCAAGACCCTGGAACTTTGGCATACCTGCACCCTGTTGGAGCAACTCCTCAATCTGCTTCTCCAAAGCCCCAACACGAGCATCCATTTGCTCAGCTCTCGAGTCCACTTCAGCCAAACGCGTTTCCAAGGTTTTTTCCAAACGATGCACTGCCTTATCAACCGCCCCGGCCTGCAAGTCCGTGAGCTGCTTGGTCTGCTCCGCAAGGATGCTACGAAGCGCTCGGAGGGTGACAGGTGCATCTGGCGCCGGCCCCGTGCGCTTAGGGCTCCGGTCACCTTCATCCCCCGAACTGCTCGGGACCGAAACATCCTCAGCAGGCATCGGCTCGTCGCGCTTTTTCCCTCTGGACATCCCCGCGAACTTCAACAGAATCAGGTAATGCAAGGAGAGCAGGGGCCCCGGAACCCGCCGAGCTTCTCGTGAGCCAGCGGGATCGAGTAGAGGTCGCTGTGGTCGCGAAACTCGCCCTCGAACGCCAAGCACTACACAGCGGAACACACACCCAGGGGAAAGAGAGACCCTCGGCCCTTGAGCCAAAATGGCTTGAGCCAAAATGGTTTAGGGTTTAGGGTTTAGGGTTTAGGAGCTCTCGCGGGTTTTGACGCGAAGGCGAGCGGCCATACCAGGCGAGGTCTTCCAGGGGAAGTACTACAGTATATTAGTACTATAGTATAAGTATATTAGTATTATAGTATAGTAGTATGATAGTATGGAAACAAACCGTGACCACCGAAAACTGCGAGCCTATGGTTTACACTCTCGCAACTCGGACTTCGCCAGACGAGGTCTCTCGATCCGTGTGACACTTGCCTCTTGTCACTGAGGGTAAGCTTCGAGCCTATGGTTTCTGGTTTAGGGTAGCTTGTTTTTTCACCGAAGAGGTGTCTAAAGAGCCTAGGTTTAAAGTGCTCCTGCAAGCTCGTGGACGTTCTTTTCCTGCAGCTTGCCTGGGGCTTCAATGCGACATGCTTTCCACACAGTCATGCGAGCATCCTGCGGCTCTTGCTACGAAGCCTCCAAAGCCCGGTAGATGCAAAGGGGAAAAGGAGGGACCCTTAATGGGGACCCCTGGCCTATAATGGGCTATATAATGGGTATAGAATAGCTATATTAAGGGTATATAAAGGCTTCGGGCTGCAGATTTAAGCCATGTAGAGTTTTGGGCTTATGCTCTCGCAGCTCGGACTCCGCCAGCCGAGGTCTCTCGGTTCAGAAGTGCAAGCCCTCCAAGCTAAACAGCCAGATGCTGAGAGGAGGGCCATCGTTTTCAGAGCTGGGGTAGCCCGCCTCCTGGCCAGCTGCTAGGCAAATCCTGCCTAAGCTTCTATGAATTCACAAGTCTAATAGCATATTACGTACTACTTGAAATCAATTTCTGTCTTGGTGCATGCTCTTCGTGATGTTGTAGGCTCTCGCATTTACGGCAAGGTGTTGTGACGTTGCACCCGGCATGCAGTGCTCCAAGCTACGCAAGCCGGCCATGAGAATCCTGGCATTCTGACCCGTACAGATTAGAACCTATGTGGAAGCAGTGCAACTTCCGGGAGACCCTTCTCTTGTCTCTACACTGCGACTAAGTCTAAGTCCAAAGACGTGCTGCTTTCAGATAACACAGTAGCATCGGAAAGCAGTGCCCGTCCTTGGGTTGGCCGTCAGCACCTGGAAATGAAGCGGCAAAACGACCGGTCATCAACTGCGTCTTGCGGTGGCCTTCGCAATATGGGGGGGCTTCCGAAAATAGGGGAACCCTAATATAGTACCCTAAATAGTAGGATCCAAATTATAAGGACACCAAAGCTCCGTCCATGCACGGCCCCAAGAAAACATAGAAATCTCGACACTGACGATGCAGCCCAAGCTCCCCTCACTATCTGGGTGGTTGTCAAAATTAGGGTCCCTTTTTGGGTACCCCAAATAATAGTAATAGGTGCCGTACTATGATAGGGACCCAAAAAGGGACCCGAATTTTGACAACCACCCATCTTCTACTCCAGAGGCGCGCGGCTAGAACTCCCGAGGCCCGCACCGAGCTTTACGGGGGCGCCGCCGGTGACAAGGCCCGGCCTTGTCTACTTAAAGGGTCATGGGACTTAGTAACTAGGGTTCCTTAAAGGGCTCCTTTAAATGGACTTTTAGGGTCTACTTAAAGGGTCATGGGACTTAGTAACTAAGGTTATGATGAGAGTAACTAGACTTATAACCCAACTAAGGTACTTGTAACCTTACCTACTAAGTCCCGTGATCCTCCAAGTGGCTTCGGGCTCTCTCGACTTCCTAGCTCCCATGAGGCTCGGGCTGGAAAGAAGCGCTCCGATCACTTTTGGGGAATCTTTGGGCCCTTTATTGGGACCGCAGTCGGGTTCCCGGCCCAGCCCTCACCTTGGCGTCATCGGGAACCTGCAAGGCTCCAAAACGGTGCTTGAGACGTTTCAGCCACAGGCTGGGACATGTCAGGCGGAGAGGGAGTCGCGCCTACCACATGAGCGCAGTGATGCAAGAGCCGAACACACAGGATTTCAACACACACGCACAGACAAAGGTTTTGCACCTACCGCACATCCTAGCAGCTGGTCAGATTCAATCTGAGGGCATATCGTAGGGCAGACCGGGCTGAGCTGGAACACTGTGGATATCAAGACACATGCAACACTGCGGTGCCATTACTGAAAACGCAGTACGAGCAGCACAGAGAGCAGGCTGCAGACATGCAACACACAACCTTCTCGGCACGGCCCGATCGTTGCGGACAGATAGACAAGTCCCTAAAATGGAGTCCACTGCACGACAAAAAAACAGCGAGCAAAGAAAACCTTACGCAATGACAAAAAGGCCACTCTAGGCTGGACCCATTTTTCGAGCATGTCTGCCTGCCATCCCTCGTTGTGCGCGTAGTAGTAGGAGTTGGTTCCCTTCACTTCGCGATTTCGGCCTTGTCAAACTCGGAAACTCTCGTGTCTCAAGCAGCAAAGGGGCAATCAATACACACACATATATATATATATATATATATATACACATGCATACATATACAAACAAACAAACAAACAAACAAACAAACAAACAAGCAAGCATACATACATACTTACAGACAAGAATACATCATCATGTATATAGTCTTATATAGTTAAACACATGTATATACAGGTAAGAATATGTCTGCATGCATACAAATACACATATACATGTAGGTATGTGTATATATATGTATATATATATATATATATATGTATATATATATATATACATATATATATATATATATATATATATACATATTTGTGTGTGTGCACATACATTCATACACATAAAACACACACATGTACATACCAGAAAAGGTTGGTCCTGGTGAATGCTAATATCCATGTCGATCCATCTACACATGAATGTCGATACATGCAACACTATGCACATAACAACTAAGTAAGCAAACAAATAACAAACAGAAAATGAATAAGCAATGAAAAACAAATACAGAAATAAAATACATACATACATATAAGTAGCTTGGTATCCTTAGCATGTGTTAAACTTTCATACTTACTACAATGTTTGTATATATATATATAATATACATGTGTGCGTGTGTGTCTGCCTATATTCTCGAACACGACGTTATCAAGGCCCAGGTCCCGACCCAGCTCGGACTCCGCTCGCGGCAGGGCAGGTTTCAGCGTCGACATGGCGCTGCGCTCGCCAAAACGGTGCTACTGCAAAAATACCCTAACCCTAAACCCTGAACCCTAAACCCTAAACCCTAAACCCTAAATCCTAAACCCTAAACCCTAAACCCTTGTAAAAGCCTAAAGCTCCTTCAATGCCAGCAACACCCAATCGACAAGGGTACTGCAGTGATAGATTCGATCCCCCGGAAGTAGGACTTTTCTGCAGTCTCAGCCAAGAGCCACGTCGCTATGCAGGCTTCTTTTGGGACTGTCATGGCACTCCGTGATGAGCCCCGCGGCTTTTGAGAGCCGGTGGCTGCTAGACATTGTTCGAGGTCATGCGGCTGGTGGATGCTGGCACGTTCACGAATCAGCCCGATCTCGTCAAACATCTCACAAGAAACCGCGAGGAACAGTCTATGATGTCATAACTGCCAACTCGACATCGCATCGAACCAAGAACATTGCGAAACCGCACCCCCTGAACGCACCAAGCAAGCAAGAAGTCCGATACTTTCGCACGTTCGGTGGCCCACTCGGCCCTGCACTGCGTAAGCGAGGCCGAAATCAGTTGAGGCCAGCCAGATGACAGTTTCAGTGAGGCATGTGAGGCTTGATGGCTTCGACGAAAGTTACACAACCGGAACCATGCCAACTTCAAAGTCATGCCCACCCTTGATTCTGCGCCTTAGAGCATCCTTACAGCCACTCAAACCGAGAGCGACAAGAATAACCGGAACTAGCACAGTATAACATCCGGAAGTCTAATGATAATCTTGCTGCGACCACAACCAGCAATTCACAAGTTTGCCCATCAAACTCTAATGTCTAGGCTCGTCTTGTGAAATGGTTCATCCTACCGCCACCTATCATGTACTCACGTGCATCCATCGAACAATGGTCATAGGACATAGATTCAGAACGCCCAAGCACGATCAAGCCGAGCCCTTAGCTTCCACTGCCATCCGGCCGTCGAGCAGGCTGCTCGTCTGCAAACATTCTCCATCGCACTTCGCGCGAGGGCGGAGCTACGACCTTCAAGGACCAGAATCTCCAGGCTTCCACCAACTACGGAGAACCAGGGGCTCTGGAGTTTCATAGATTTTCCTTTCAAATTCTGGAGACTGGAGACATTCCAGACCCTGACTGATGCGAAGGCAGTGCCAGTTCAGAACTTATAGAAGCCGCAGCAGCACGTGTCTCTGGTTACCGGCCTTGTTGAGGTCTTCATACTTCACGTCAGGCCGTCAGGCTTACTTGAGGCTCTTGCCGTTGCCTTCTTGAAGGAGTCGTCAAAATGTGGAAAGCCCTCCGCGACTATATCTACGACACCTGTCTGCTGAAAGTACTCGGCACACGTTCCCTTGACGGCTTCTGCGAATGCTCACGGAAACTTCGAGTGGCGCACAACCTCGTTAGAACCGTTGCCAAAGAGCTGTTGTCTCAAAACCCCGAAGTTCCCGATGGAGCACGGGTTTGCCCACAACTGGAGTGTGTTCGACCGGCCATCTGCAAGGGACTGGGGATCTTCGATGTTTGCAGATTTGCTCTGTCTTCCGTGTGGGGGCATCTTCGTCAAGAACTACACACCATTTAGGAACAAAGGGATCTCGCGAATGCTACACACACAGACACCTTTCGGGTAAGCAGATGAGATGATATTGTGCAGTTCTTTTTGCAGCTTCAACGTCCCCCGAATATAAACCGTGCCATGATGTGACCGGGGTTTGCGAGGTGTAGCTGCAGATGGATGTCGGAAATACCTCTCGCCCTCTCGCCTTGTGAAACCAAGAAGCGCAAAGAAACTCCTGAGCGGAAGGGTGAACCGTCTTCTTCCGTCGACATTCGACATCCGATACAACAGCAGTCTGGGCAACTTTTTGCCAGAACTTGCTGAGCAAAGATTCTAACGGAAAGCCGCGGTTGGGCCGCGGCGAGGGCACAACATTGTGTAAGCCTAAGAAAACGGACGGACAACTAAGACCTGTAGCATCCAAGCCCTAGAAAAACCCATAACATGCCCTACTCTCTACTTCTACTACGGTGAAACACTTCTCTTGCGATCACAGCAAGCTCGACCTCAACTTGAACAAAATGGCATGCAAAAGCTCACTTCCATGCTCCCTAGTTGGAGGTTCACGGGTAGTTACAAGTAGGGCAACCATAATTAAAATCCATATCACGGGACGTTTCACCCCACTTTTGACTACCCATAACCCCAAACCCTAACCTCTAAACCCTATAGATAACTCAAAGAAACCCGAAACCCTTAAGATTCTAAGTCCACTTATCACGACCCATGAGCCTCCACCCTACGCAGCCCCGAAGCCTCCCGGGGCGGGCACAGATCCCTCATGGAGTGCCAGTCCCTCGGTGCCTCGAACTGATGAGGATCCTGCACGCGCACAGGGGCTGTCATTATCATTATACTGGTGTTGTAATTTATTTTTGTTGATGTTATTGTAATCATCTATTATTCGTGTTATTGTTATTATTGTTCTTATGGCTCGTATTGTCGTTCTTGTTTTTTCTTGTTCTTCTTGTACTTATTGTTATTAATGGATCCAGAAGGAGGAGAACCGGCCGTCCTCCATATAGCGAAGGAGAGCCACGGATGGGCCATCTTCCACGCCGAGCAGGTCTTTGGTTTCCATCCTCGGGAGGCCACCGTGGCAAACTGCTACTAATAACAAAAAATGACAAAATAGTATTATTATTATAAGTAACATCAGTGCTATTATTATTATTGTTAATAAGGATAATATCTACAATAATAGTAATAATAATGCAATGCAGCACTCAGGTTCCCGCAGCATGCGTCTTGCCACGAGCCACTCGCCCTGCGCGTAATTTTGGTACCTCCAGCAGGACAGGTGACACGGGGTTGCTCGCGGAGTGGAGGGACGAATAGGTGACCAGAGAAGTCCAGCAGTGCTGGCGCGTGCTACACAGCGCAACTGCTTCTGGGTGGCCCACCCCATATTAAACAACTGGAAGAAGTCGACGGTGTACCTTGACATTCGAAGCTAATTATTCGATTCAGAGTCAAACATGCCGGGGGCCCCTTCAGATCTGTCTGTCGCAGCTTTCAGCATTGAGTGGCAAACCTCTGTCGCATGGCGTGAATTGCCGGATCTTCCTCGAAAGCCATGACAATCTGGAAGTCCTGGCACCATAATCCGTGGACAAGCTGGCAAGCAAGAGCAAAGCAACTGATAGCTAATTGTACTCAGTGTCTGAAGATGATGACTCTTCATGACAAAAATGTCTGTGCTCCTTGCCCAGCTTCTGCACCTTCTGCGACTCGATGAACTGCCGTGCTCGGTACCGGTTCTTCCTGTCAAGCTAATATATATATATATATATATATATATATATATATCCTGCAATACCTAAAGGACCCCAAACTATGGGAATTATGGTATATTCCTTATTATGGGTAATGCTACTAGTCAACGATGTGGAGGCAGCTTGGCAACGCCATCCGAACGAGTGAAAAGGAAACAGCTGCAGCTGAGTACCCCGACGTATTTAGAGGAACTTGCGGCGCAGGCGAGGTGTCCACTTCCAGACCTCGAGCTGTATGAGTCTGCAACGACAAACCGGGCATACCTCCCAGAATGGAAAAGGAGCACTGCGATAACATCGACGAGTTCTGTGCACTTCTTTCGCACTCATCCGCGGCATGTGTTGCGAGAGAGCCATTACCAACACGGACAGTAGAGGTGATACATCCTTTGCAGAGAATGCAACTTCTCGCAACTGAAGCTGTATGCAAAAAACATGAACTGTTTGTGCTGCTGACCTGAGAGCAGTGGGGGACGTGTCGATGTGGTTCGGAATGCTTCGGAATTCAGATGCAAAGTTGCAGGAAGGCCACAGCCGCTTGCAGCCCTACTTGTAGGTTCATGGGCAGTTATACTTGGGGTTATAGGTAGGGTAACAGCCATAATTATAGCTGTAATTATAACCCAGATTTGGGGACTTGTAACCCCACTTATAACTACCCATGAACCTACAAGTAGTGGCTAAGCACTGTGCCTAGCCTGGCACTTTGGCACACTGGGTTTCTGGCTGTAGTAGTCCAGGTCGACCTGGAGTTCCATGCTAAAAGAAGCCCGTGCAATAGTATTGTAGTATTATTGTAGCATAATTATAGTACTACTATAGTATTATTATAGTATCATTATAGTATCATTATAGTATCATTATAGTAAGTGTTATAGTGTTATTATAGCATCAATATAGTATTATTATAGTGTTGCTGGAGTAACATAACTATGGTATTATACTATGATAGGATGCATCAACAGCTTCTGCAGAGACTTCTCTCTTGGCTCCCTCACGCAATAGAGCTGCATCGGTGTTGGCGAACCAGTGATGAGGACGCGGTCAATCAGTCGGCTTTTTGCCAACAACTGGCCAAAGGCAGAACAGGAAGCTTGGCACAGGGTATGCCTGCCTCAGCCTCTGCCATGACCCCCATCGCTGTGATCACCATCTCTAACAGACTCTTACCATGCACATCTTGGCAGCAAAGGTAAAACCCCAACCCGTTCCTCCGGCGAGCAAAGCTCCATGCAGCTTTGTGCCACGATGACAGAGACACCGTAGACCTGCACAGCACTTGCTATAATGATACTATAATAATACTATAGTAGTACTATAATTGCTATGATGATACTATAATAATACTATAGTAGTACTATAATTATGCTACATGGTGGCGGCTCCGGGGTTGCTTGCCAGCTCTGCAAACTTCAGCCGCTCGACACGTGGCAATTCCGTGCCTGGGTGCAGCGTTCGACGCTCGATGCAATGCTGACCTCGGTGGCGAAAGTAAGGCTTGAGTTCGAAGTCTGGCAGCTGATGCCATGCAACACTGGGGTGCGTTCGTTCGGAGAGACGTACGAAGCATCGATCTTGAACTCGCTGCCCACAGCACCCTGTCCGCCAAGAGAACTGGGGACTGGATCACCCAAAGCCTACTGGCCTACTGCGCTGAAGCCTAGACCCGGGCACCTCAATAGCCCAGCCAGCATGCAGGCCGAAGCTCAGGTTGACCCGCGTCTGAGAGGAAAGCTGACCTGGGTGGTGCGGGCCGGAAGGACCACAAGTGGAAGAGCGTTCCGAATGGACAAGGCGACAAGAGCAGTACGACAAGGCTTGGGTGCCATGCCGTTTCTGGAGAGGCGATATTGCAATCCAGGATGCGACCGGTAATCTGCACGCAGCGGAAGGCTTCGCCGGGCCGGGGCTACATCTTGCATCTCATTAGATATCTCTGCCATGTCAGTGGATACCTCACAACTCAAAGACCCCGGAATCTCAAAGCTGATCCTAACCCCAGCAACTTCCCTAAGAAGCCGTAAACCCGAGCCACCCTTCTCAAGTCTCCCGGATGGCCCCACCTGCCAGAAGCGCCGACCGATGGAGAGCACCTTCGGAAGGATGCATCTCCCGCTCTCAGGGGGCTTAGGGTCGATGGTTCAAGGGGGCTTAGGGGTTTTTGATACACTTCTCGATTTGTGCAGGGGTTTAGGGGTTTAGGGTTTCGGGCTTAGGGTTTAGGGTTCAGGGTTTGGGCGCTCCCGCTCGGACGATCCAGGTGTGGAATGTGGTCAGAGGAGTGAAACCAAGACTCATGCAAACATGTGTCCACAAACCTGAGGAGAGAAGCTCCGGACAACATAGCCCATAGACCCATCGACGTACACACTGTACTCATACTTCTGTACCTAGTTTAAGACTTCAGCCGCACCTGACATCAGGCTGAATCCCTGAAAGCGCCATTGTCCAGCCCAGCGGTCGATCCCGCAGCCGCCCCGAAACCAAACGGGAGGCTCTAATTTGTAACCGTTCTGGTTTGGTGGTAGATTGTCCGGTTGCTGTATACTGTATCGCTCTATAGCGCGTCCGGTCTGAACCTATGAATGCAGCTCCAGCTTCCATCCCAACAAAATAAAATGACCCACTCCATATGAGCCCAACTCTCCCCAAGAACCCCTGTCCTGTGTCACTGAAACCGAGAGAACACATGCAACCAGAGTCCGACCACGGCTCCGTGCCTAGGATCTTGCAGAAAGCAACGATGGACATCTCCGCTATCCTCCTCCGCTCCAAAGCCTGGCGACAAGGCGCCCACGACGTAATCTTCTTATCCTCCAAGGATGCTTTCCCTAAGAATTTCATGAGAGTTCTGCACACGTTCTGAAAGGGTTCGTCAGTGCTTTCCAGCTTGTGCAAACAAGTCGGCTGCGACTGCTTCGGCAGATGCGCTGTTTTCACCAATTTGCCACAATGCTGCTACCTGGACCTGGCTCTCTGTCAGCACGAACGACGCGCTCGCACCTGGGCGTTGTTGTCCATGCGCCAGATGACGAGGAACTGCTCGCCGCTGTTCTTGTTCGGTGCCTGGCTATCGGAGTGCTCAGACAAACCTATCAGAGGAAATTAGCCGGAATCAATGCACGGCCGCAAAGAGCACGACATGAAATTGTTACAGCGGCCGCAACATGCTGCAACGTTGTCAGAAAGATGTTCATGGTGATAACGTCTAGTCTAGTAGTACAGTGTGCCGGCAAACGAGAGCAGATGAGCGACCACGGCTGTAAGTAAGCGCAAGCTCGCCAATCTTGACCACTTGCACCGCTTGCACCACTTGCACCACTTGTACCGCTTGACCGCTTGCACCACTTGGACCACTTGAGGTGGCGGGAGGGTACCGGCAATTTTGGTAATCTTGGTGACCAAAACGAAGCAGTAGCAGTAGTAGCAGCAGCAGCAGTAGTAGTAGTACTAGTCATAATTCATAGTAGTAGTAGTTAGTAGTAGTAGTAGTAGTAGTAGTAGTAGTAGTAGTAGTAGTAGTAGTAGTAGTAGTAGTAGAAGTAGTAGTAGTAGTAGTAGTAGTAGTAGTAGTAGTAGTAGTGTAGTAGTGGTAGTAGTAGTCGTGGTAGTGGTAGTGGTAGTGGTAGTGGTAGTGGTAGTGGTAGTGGTAGTGGTAGTGGTAGTAGTAGTAGTAGCAGTAGTAGTAGTAGTAGTAGTAGTAGTAGTAGTAGAGTAGTAGCAGTGGTAGCAGCAGTAGTAGTACTACTACTGCTGCTACTACTACTACCACCACTACTGCAACTACTACTACTACTACTGCTACTACTACCACTACCACTACCACTACTACGACAACTACTACTAGCACTTGGGGTAGTAGCAGTAGTTGTTGCTGTTGTCGTAGGTGTTGTAGGCGGCCCTAACACGACTCCAAGTACGTCAATCAAGGCTGTGCGTATACTTGAAGAGAGCTTGCTGGGAGGAGGGCCTTGCAGGTTGGCAGCCTCACTGGACGGCTCCAAAAATGGTTGTCGCAGTAGCCGCTGAAGGAGGGGTAGTGAGGAACAGATGGCAACCGCTCGCCAGCAGCAGCGTAGACTGAGACGAATCACGGCAGAAGTGATAAGACTGATAAGATTGGCAAGAAGTCAGTAGCCATATCAGCAGCAGCAGCAGCAAGGGATGCTGGCATTCCTGCCATAACCAGTCGACTGATGTCTCTGGATGCAACCACGAACCCCAAACAAAAGCCCGAAGGTGGGAACCGAGCCAAGCCAGGGCCACTCCGTAGAACTCATCAGCGACACCATGAATGATCTCTGCGATCTGGTTGACAAAGGTCATGATGCGACCTTGGAGAACCTGGCGCAAGGCACCCACCAAGCACGCGCCTTGAGACGAGCAGCTATGCCGGCACAACTGACGAATCCCTAATTCCGAATTATGGTTGCTAGCTTTAGATTGAAAGGCGAACCTTAATCCCAAAGTAGGCCCAAATTACCCTTGTGGCCTCCGTGGCAGTGCTGAAATCCAGCACTCTGCACACGCCGATGACCTCAAGATTCTGGCTCACATCGCACGATACTATGTCCATAGACCGTCAACTCGGCACATGTGCAACTTACGGATTTCCGGGCTGGGAGATTCGATGCAGACCCGAGCTGCGCAAGCTCATAACCCCAGGCATTGAAAGTCCTGGCGGGCTTAGAATGCCGTCCAAGTGTCGGCATCCACGCGAAGGCCAGGAACTACGGCGTTCACGCCCGCAGTGTCGGAGCCTCACAAGTGAGCACGACACTGCCATCACGCGGACGGATCCCTGGGAGGGTGATCTCAGAGCTGAGAGCTGCACTCGGATTTTCATGCAAGTCATGAAGCTTGAAACAGCAGCAGCTATCAGGAACACAAGAGAATGCTGAGGATAATGCAATACATTCGCAAACAATGCTCAGTATACAATATAGTATAACACTGCTCTTCAAGTACATGGGCCAGAGGATGCCGAGGGAAGATTGCATATGAAAAACAAGTCTGAGCTACAATAATTATATACCCATTCTATAGCCCATGATAGGGTAGGGGTCCCCATTAAGGGTCCCTCCTTTTCCCCTTTAAATCATGTCGCCCCCCTTGGAGCCTACAAAAACGAGCAAGGAGCCAACGAAGAACCGAAAGAAAGTCGGAGATATGGCCCGACAGCCCAACTCCAGCTATAGGGAACTCCAGAAAGTTGGAATATGGATTATTGGTAGGATCCCCTATAATTTACCTTAAAGGGGTTACGATAATGATATTCCAACTTTCTGGCTTCTACTCTAAGTGTTGTGACGAGCACTGCGGGCTGAAAGAGAATCTAACCTTGTGTGCACTCTCGCTCCCCCGGCCTTTCATGTTGTGCGAAATGATATTCGCACCCGCCTGGATTCACAGCACCACAAACCATGTACGCTGAAATCAACGGCCCGGTGAACATCGTGATTTTCGACATTCCGTGGAGTGATGCCCTGCGCGCCTCGCCAAAGCCAAGAGCCAGCAGGGATCCCAACCTCATGAATGTTGCTTCTTTTTTTCGCGGTTATGATCATCAACACTATTCGTATGGATAAATGTTCATGTGTTTTGCTTGTTGCGGTTATGATCATTAAACCAGTAGTATTGCTGTTGGTGTGTACATTGTCTATACCGTCGATACTGGTACTAACTTGTCTGGGCACATGGCCAAAACATGAGGCGCCGGAGTGTTTTGAAGGCAAAGCTCGGTGACCCACCCGTGACTGAGCCGCACGCTTCACAATGGTCTTTTCCAAGATCACGGTCTCCATTGGTCCTTCCTTGCTTGCCTGCAGCTCATCTGAAAGATTCCAACAGAAACGCACTTGGGAATATCATGGAGAAGCCTTCCGCAAAGTTCCCAGCAAGTGCTGGATTCAAAAGCCTACTCGCACAGGATGCATCCCATACTAGAACTTGGAACTCTGAACGAGCAAAGGAACTCTTTTGCAATGCTGATGCATACTGCCAGGTCCGAGCCACTGTCTCTCTGTACAAGAAACTGCAACTCACAAACCAGAGACACCGTCGACAAGGCTGCTTAAAGCAAATCGCGGCCCACAACCGGCCAATCAGCTGGTGATGGGCACTTAGCTGTCTCATCGAGGCTTCTGAAGAGTTGACCAGACACGGTTCTTGTGCCGCTTCGCAAGAGTGACTGTCACCTGCCCAGCCCGAGGGAGAGAAACTGGCTCGAAAACCCTAAACCCTAAACCCTAAACCCTAAATTCTGCCAAACAGACTGGCCTTCTTGGAGGATTCGGATGCACGATACTTGCACCTGACCGTCAAGCAAGCCAAAGCACGTCTGCCTAAGCCTAAAGCTTGCCACGCTTTAATGAAATCCAGAGAACACATTCCCCCTTGCTGAAGGAGTATGTATCAGATCATAGCATGTGAGCCTTCGAAGCTCATCCCTGAAATGCCGCATTACTCAAACCCTCCGGAAAAGAAACTACTGGAGATACCTTGGTCCAGGGGAAACTAAAGGTTAACCTGGTGGATTATATATACGGGATTACAGTACCCCCCAAAAGGTCAAAGGTTACCTGCTCTCCGAAGAAGACACATTGGAGGCCAAGGCGCTGGTCAACCTCCACCGAGCCGTAAAGCGGCTCGATCCGCAGCCTGTAGTTCTCCTGGCCTGTTCGAAGCCTCGGATTGAAACCTAGAAAGCACTTAGAGAAGCCTCGGGTCAAGTCTTGCAAGCCGCTGATTTCGGTACTGACACCCGAACAGCCCAAAGGCAAGGGTGTTCGATCTGTTGTCAGCAGGTTCATCTGTCGGTCGATCGGTTCTGCCGGCCGGCCGGTAAGCTGGGAAAGATAGACGCAGAGATAGATTGGCAAATAGATTAGATAAACAGATAGACAGCTGAAGACAGATGGAGATAGACGGAGATAGATAAAGATACATTAAGATAGATGTAAATAGAGATAGAAAACAGATAGATGGATGGCTAGATGGACTGAAAAATATATGGGTGACATGCACGTCACGTGTTTTTGATTGTGCCCGGAAACCCCTGCACCACGCCACACCACACGGGGTGGGAGAGTCTACCAACGATTGGGACAAGCAGACCAAACCCCCGAACCACGCAACCCACGAAAGGAGTCCGCCAACCATGTGGGCCGAGCGGGGGTGACCGTCATCATAGACGGTCCTGTACCTTTCTGTGCCTCGATGTGGTGTGATCTACTCTGGGGCACAAAACAATCTGCTATGTGCCAAAGTCAATAAGTAAGTAAATAAGTAAGCATGAAAGTATTTAAGTATATAAGTATGCTGATACAATTGCACTATGACATATGCTGCAATATACAATCACTGGCAATTCTGCAATACAACACCGCATGCTAGAGTATAAACAAATCTACATGAGTACATGCTGCATACTACCAGTTGCTAGGACCTATAAACACTTGCTGGCTCGTCTGTGAAAGCCTTGTGCATGGCCGAGGCACTTGAGGTCGAAAGCTTGATACTCGAAGCTCACCTCCAGAGCCTCGCTTGGGAGAGTGTACTCGTATGAAACATCCCGCAGATTCATCAAACTATGTCTGGACTTCCGTGGAGCCTCCTTCTTGCTCAAACTGCTGACTGCCGGATCGGGGAAAGTGATGTACACTTTCACTTTCTCGCCCTCATCGTTGAACAAGTAGTCCTGAAGAATCGTAAAGCGCTCCTCCATCAGGCTGGCAGCCTGCACGTCTAACTTCACTGGTGCATACCCTTGAGCGTTCTTCACGTTCTCAGGCAGCTCCCAAGCCACACTCTTCACCGCATACTCAAAATTGTCCCTCTTCGAGGAGACTTGGAAAAGCTTCTTGTTCTTCTTGTCCGACTTGACGGATATCCACCTCGGTAAAAGCGCACTACTTCCATCTCACCCGGCTGATCTCGCCCCCGGAGCCAAGAAGCATTTTCGTGATGGCCTCTATGGAGGTCTCCGAACCATCCAGCGCGAGCTGGATCATCGCACGCATCTGCCGCGGCACACTCTCGTCTGTGTTCGGCTCCAAGCATGCCTTCTCCTAAGCGATATGGGAGTTTCCGAAAATAGGGGACCCTAATATAGTAGGATCCTTATTATAAGGACCCCAAGATAAGGTACCCTTGTTTTCGGAAACTCCCATATTGCGAGGTCCCACATACCAAGTACACCGTTATGCACGATGATCCTGCACATGGTGAAACACAATAACACTTCGCAGCTAGACCTAGCAACACATGACGCAGAATAGCACAGTTTCAACCGGCAGACTACCTAAAACCTTCACGTGATCCTGCTTTGTATAATGCACAAACAACATGCTCACCTGTCCCCTGACCTGGCTGAGCATCCATCAAGTCCTGCGCACTCTTTCCCGCGAGCTTCCCATCTTTCACGCGGTAGTGAGGGTCGGCCTTGTGAAAGAGGAGCTGGGCGCACAACCTCAAAGTGTCTCGTGGCAAAGCCTGAAAAACGACTGAACTCGGGGGAACCGAAGTCAGAAAGGTTCCCAAAACGATTCCGCGTGGCTCGACCCCTCGCCCATGCTGCCGGTAGAAGTGGCAGGCGTAAAGCAGCGGGGTGTTGCCGCTCAAGTCTCGCTGGTTCAGGTTTGCACCGTGGGCGATCAGGAGCTCCGTCAAGAACATCTCCCCTGTGTTGGGTACTGCCCCCATACAAGTATTAAGGTCCTCATTAATATATCTATATTATGAGTCCTATGCAACTGTCACTGAGCTCCGTCAAGAACATCTCCCCTGTGCGAGGAGGAGCGAGGCAGGAACTTCCAGAAGCTGGGCTCTTCCTTAAAAAGGGGCTTCTACACGGGCGACCACAAGGGTTTTATATACTATATAATCGATATTGTATCTTATATGTAAATTACTTTGTTCTTAAACTCTGTTACTCTGTTACTGTTAGCCGGCCGGCCTCTGAGAGCCGTCATGTGGAGGGCACACATGCCTGCACCGCAGTCGGCATTGACATCCGCTCCCTGCATCAGGGCATCCTCTCAGCTGGCAGGCTATAGGGAACTCCAGAAAGTTGGAATATGGTTTCAGGGTAGGATACCTTTTAATTTACCTTATGTTTACGTTTCTTCTCAAACATAACGTCGATGAGCATGGCACTAGCCGCAGCAACAGTCCTCGCACTCTTCGAAATCGTCCTTTGCAATGGCCTGCACCTCGCCAGCTCAGCTCTCTAGCTCACTGCAGGGAAGGTTCATGCTGTACATGCGTGTTTGCTGCTTGCAGCTCGGGAGCCATTCTCTTTGTCGTTTCCTAAGTCTCTAGTCTCGCATTGTCCGAAGGCAGATTGCAGCAAAAGGAAGACAAGCATCAAGCCGCGAACAGGATTCTATGAATGTCACCCTCTCTGCCAGAAAGCTGCATCTGGCTCCTTGTAGGGAGCTTTCTCTTCTTCGGCCTACTTCACCAGGACGACACCGCGTGGTGTTGCGACAGGGCCGACAGTGACAGGCTGGGCTGTGCTGTGCGGCCTCTTTCATCAGTGCCTGCAGAGCATCACCAGCTGAGACCTGAAAGAAGGGAAGACCCAGCTCAGCATCCCATGGTCCTACCATGCCCCCAGCCTCTGCATCCCCAGCTTCGCGTGCTCGCTGGACGGCAGCCTCTCCTTCGCACGGATCGGCAAAACTAGTAGGCGAGGCAGCTTGCGAGTCCAGAATTCCCATGCCAAGCTGCGCAGCTGATGCGCAGCTTGCACGGCTTCGTCATCCGGGTCCGAATCCTCCCCGTAGTAGTCCACGGAGGGCTCCTCCGTGGCACCTCTGCCCCAGGAAGGCCCAGCGGGTAAGCTCCCACGCAGGATTGGTTTTCACTGAGACACCGGCGAGGCTCCGCCTTCTTTGCCGGCTCCACCGGGCTGGCCGAGACCTGACGAAGCTCGGATTCCCAGAGACCACCGTTCTGAAGTCATCGCGGTCTCCACTGGCTCCACAAACAGCCAAGTCAACTCTGCAACAGATTGCAATAGCAGCCGCACAAAAGGCCCAGTGGTGGCTGCAGTGTTGCGGTGGTCACTTCTTTCCTTGTCACGTCACGGAGCAGAAGTAGAAGTGGAAGCGGAAGCAGAAGCAGAAGCAGTAGTAGTAGTAGTAGTAGTAGTAGTAGTAGTAGTAGTAGTGGTAGTAGTAGTAGTACTACTACTACTACTACTAGTAAGTAGTAGCAGTAGCAGTAGCAGTAGCAGTAGCAGTAGCAGTAGCAGTAGCAGTAGCAGTAGCAGTAGCAGTAGCAGTAGCAGTAGCAGTAGCAGCAGCAGTAGCATTACAGCAGCAGCAGCCGTAGCCGTAGCAATAGTGGTCTTGGTATCGTGGTATAGTGGTATAGTGGCATAGTGGTACAGTGGCGCAGTGGTGCAGTGGTATAGTGGTATAGTGGTATAGTGCTATAGTGGTATAGTGGTATAGTGGTATAGTGGTACAGTGGCATAGTGGCATAGTGATAGGTGTATAGTGGTCATGGTCGTGGTCGTGGTAGTGGTGGTTGTTGTTGTAGTAGTAGCAGCAGTAAATGATAGGGAGGAGGAGGAGGAGGAGGCGCGGGAGGAGGGGCGGGAGGAGGAGAACGAATGTTGGTAGTAGTGCTGGCAGTGGTACCCGACACGGGGAAACAGAGGCAATCAATATCATTACTAGCTGTGCTACACAGCCGCCGTTGGCCGTGCCTTTGCAGCAGTGGCTTCGGCAGGCACCTGCGCGCCATCCTGCGCAGAAGCTAAACCGTTGAAGTATCGTTCATTGCGATGGCCAAGACAAGACCAGTCGACTCTCTGGAGATAGATGGCAGGAAGCTCATGAGCAGCTTGCAGAGGCAAGCGGCATTGTCTTGGCTTGTTCCGTAGCTAGAAGCACAGTCAAACATGCTGCGGATTCTCATGCAAAGCCACACTGGCTCCGGGAGCCCAGAGCAAAGCAGGATCCTCTGTCACCAGCGGTGGGAGGTCATCATCCGATTCTGACTCCATGGCAAGTTACACGTACGAGTACACTTAGGGCTTAGGGCTTAGAGTGGCGATGATCGAAGGGCTTCATGAGTCGCAAAAAGTCAGGGACAAAAGATACAAGCTTCTTGCAAGAGTCGCAATTGCAGCTCATGCAGGTCAGGTTTACCTGTTGGGATTTCGAACTACAGCAAGTGTTGCGTCTTCCTTCGCCAGCTTGTCCTCCTGACTTTGTTTCATGAGTTGCTACTTTCCTAATCTACGGGCTCTATTACTATTACTATTATTGTTATTATTACTATTACTATTTACTATTACTATTACCACATGCAACGAGCCAGGAGCCGGCCGAAGCGGACTTGGAACAAGCCTGGAGACAGGATTTCTGGGAACGGGATATCACAAAAAACCGAAACCCCTTTTCCCCAAAACCGAAACCCCCTTTCGCAGCGGGCTTGCCTCGTCGCCCGGGAGCTCCCTCTTCCCAGAACACCCCTAAACCCCGCACACCCCGAAGCCCTAAACCGCCTAAACCCCTAAACCCTGGGTGCCGGACAGACAAGCATTTGCAGGTGCACCAGTGTAGAACTGCCTCGGCTGGGTCGCTGAGGTACAGGGTTTCGGGCTTCGGGGCTCACACTCGCACCATCCCCGAGGCGTGTGATCATGAGACGGCAGAGTGAAACCCAAACCGGGAGGAAGCACGAAAATCAGTGCAACTCATACATACTCCTCTGCAAAGCTTGCCAAAGTCCTGAAGTCCACAGGTACACACGCACTATCTTTTTCTGGTATCCCAGGCCTCAAACTACACATGAGCACGGGTTCAGGGTTCAGGGTTTACGGTCTCGCAATCTCGGTTCGTAGGTCGGTGACTGGTTGAAACATCCGGTGCATGCATCCTGGGAGTGCCGACGGAAAACCAGGATAGTATAGTCAGTACACCGCAGCAGGGCCACGATGGTGATGCATTCACACGCAGAGTGACTCTGCATCCGTTGTTCCAGCACTATATGCCTAAGAACAAGCCGAAATAGCCTAGATTCAGTACTCTTCTTCTTTCAGGGCTAGAGCGTAGGTTTACCTCTCTCTCCCGCTCAATCTCTCTCGCGCTCTCGAGATTCTGAAGGGTTTGGGGGGTTAAGGGTTTAGGGAGTAAGGCACAAAATGGAAACTTTCCAGGTGCAGCGAAACCAGATTGAACTTATAGTTGTTATCAAGACTGCTAACCACAAGACCTCCGAGAGCTCGGCGCTCAGAAAATAGCCTTGTCTGCGCATTCGAGATTTCTTGATCTCCTCCAGCTTGAACCTCGACAACACCGGTCCAGAAACAAAAGCACTTGCATTATCAACATCACCGTTGTCATCACCACCACCATCATCATCTCATGCCTTCTTGGCATTGCAACTTGGCTTCTTCCGTTTTTCGCTGGCAGACTCTCCTCTCCGGGGGCAAGGCCGGGTCCATGAGTCTATGGGCTACAGTAGTCGGATCAGTGGTTTAGGGTTTAGGGTTTAGGGCGTTGACACTATCGGATCGTTCCTGTTGCGTGGTGGTTCGGGGAGAAGCATTGCCCAAAGCTGGACGAGCCCGGGCTCTTTTCTGGGACCGCTAGGTGTGGAGAGCAGGCCAGCAGAATTCCACGTGGGCTGATCATGTTGAGGATCATGTTGAGGGTCGTACTCTTCGTTTGCCATCTTCATGGCAATCAATGGATTGTCACCTGTCGACAGCAGAGTGAAGAGCGTGCGCGACGACACGGCTACAGACCGAGACCCTCAACTCCCGAGGGCCCCACGAATGGCTTTGACTTTGTGGATCATTTGTTCCACCTGGGCTCTTCGCATGAGGCAAGGCTCACAGCCTGACAGCAACCAGATGGGGCTTCCGCCGGGTTGACGATGAGCCGGTTGGCATCGCGGGAGAACATGAGAGACCTCGCCGGAATTTGGTGCTATCGGAGAGTCCTCCTTCGCCGTCTTAGGAGGCCCTGGCCCGGTCAAGAGCAGCACCAGCACGATCCCCGTTGTAGCCAGACCTTCAAGGGGCCAAGGGGCATTTTGCAGAATCTGTGGCCTGTTTCGTGCCGGGGTGGACGAAAACGCTCCTTTTCTCAGCGCTGTCGACGGGAGCCTGAGGTCACAGCGAGCTACACGCAAGCAGGAGTCTGTAGACTTCCTGCAGTTTTGCAGTAGGCGCCGGCCCGCTCCGCAGGTGACGCATTGTAGCAACAACGAGCAGAGCAGCCATGGAAGCGAGTCTTGCGCGCATTGCGAGCCTTCTCAGCCCGCACACGGCCCTGGCACATGTGTTGCCTTGGCCTGTGCCAGCACCGTCGGGCTGTCGGCAATCTCTCGCGTGGCCCCAGTTGCTCCAAACACAGCACAGACAGAAAAATGTGCGAAATGAAAATATGGATTCAGCATGAGAGCATAGCCTTCGCTCGTCTCGGAAAACAATCCAAGTGATCGAGGAGAGATTAGGATTGATTGAATGCTTGATTGGTTGGTTGATTGGTTGGCGCGCTTTCGCGGCTCAAGCTGGGATGCCCTGTTCTGTACACTCGAGAGGAAAAGCCAGCGAGCCGTCAGGGGCTATACAAGCGCACTGTACAGCGGATTTACTTGCAAGTTCGGGCGGTTATACCGCCAGTAGTTTTTGCACGGTAGACTTCAGCTCCTCCACCGTCTCTGCATCTACATCCACAGGCTGGAAGTGCTTAGCCAAGCGCTCCAAGCACATCTGCACGATCTCCAGTTCAGTCGACAGCTCCTTCAATGAGGGATCAGTCATGAGCTTCACTGTTTTGCAGAGTGACTGCGGGTTCTTGGTGCCCAAAGTCTGCGAGAGCTGCTGGGCTGCATGCTTCTCAATCGTTGAATCCCCGATGGAAATCAAGTTGCAAGGGCTGTCTGCACCCTGCTTGAGGAAGTCGAGCATGGCAGCATATTTCGATGCAACGTACACATCACCTTCGCCCTCGGGCAGAGAGGCATCCTCCTCCATAAACTCAGGGCCATAGAGGATAGGGATCTCTAGCTCAGAGAGGAGAACTTCCAGGTCCATTCCTGGAAGGTACTGGGACGCCGACTCGGGCACCCAGCCACGCTCCGCCATGGTTACGATGGCCACGTTCCCCAAGGAGCGAGCCGTCCGCAACAAAGAGCGGACACGATCGGCGTGCCGCTCCATCGCCGCGAAGCAGGGGCAGTCCCTCGGCAGGCCAACCTGCTTGGAGCCCTGCCTTTTCTGGGGAAGCATCCTGTCTAAGTCATCGAGAAAACTCGTGGGCATCAGCGTGTCGTCCCAGTCAAAAACGATCCAAGTTTGCTCCGGATGTGCCGTGGGCGCGTCCAAGCCTGGAGCTTCGGTTCGGTGCACCCGACACTTTGCGATGAACCGCACAGCTGCGAAGGCGGCAGTCCACACGGCGTCGGGCTTCCAATGCTCGGGCTCAGGCTCTCTTCGAAAATCATCCAGGTTATATGAGTCGGTGCTTCGATCGGATGGAACGCTCTCCAAGTCATAATCTGTGAAGCGAGTTGACAAAAGACTTTGCACGTCACAGTCGCAAAGCTCGCACATGGCTATGTGGGCCGGTGAGCACTCCCAGATTCAGTCTTGAAGCTTTAGTGTCTGGTGCTCAGGCAGAACAACTCCACGGTCTGGACAGACATGTTACCCTGCAGTCGCAGCGGCCCACCTACCTCGCCTGACTCTGTGCACTGAACGGGGCTGGGGCTGAAATACGCGACCTCTTTGTTGTATATCCTGCCCGCGAGACACCACTGCACAGGACCTTGGCCTCAAGGCCTCCAGTTCCCCTCTGGCACCCCCAAGTCCCCGACCGAATGTCAAAGAAGAACTCGAAACGCCACTCCTCAGCAAATTGACCAAAATCATCCAAACTCGATACCATGTCCACTACAGTACCAGACGCGACAGAAACGGCACTGACTTCCTCGCTGTGCTCATATTCCTTCCAGCTTCAACACACACCTCGCCCAAACCCCAAACAATTTGGATGAGCTGCATTGCGTTGCGCTCGTGTCTGCCATAGTGGGATGACAACCTCGCAGACACAGCAAAGACAGCCGAATTTTATGTTTTGGGTCCCCGTCTGCTTCATGGTTTTGGAAACAGAACGTGCCCGTACCAATTTCCAGGCTGCCGCTGAGTGCAACCGCGATGCCGAATAGTCTGTGGCACGAAGGTCCTGGGCATCGTGAATGCTGAGTTCAACTGCATCTAGCATCTGCGACGGTTCACCAATCCCATGCCATCAATGCGACTCTTTGCAAGAAATGGACTTACTGGTGATGATTGGCTCCCCGCCTGCGGGCACACCACAGGATACGAAACGTCGCCGTTCACATCTTCGGCAAGCAGTGAAACGCCTGAGCAGGGAAAAGCGCTGTGCCGAATTGGTTTATTGGCGAGGACTCGTGTTCGACCTAGACTTTCCTCCGCGGCTCCCTGGCACAGAAATGACGTGTCAGTTTCTTACTCCACTAGCTACTAGCGCCTCCACCAACCACAAAAAACAGCTCCGAAAAACACCCGCTGTCGAAGCAGAGTCCTAAACCTTCAAACAGTTGCGCACGCTTCTGGTAGGCTTCCCGAGATGCAAACAAACATGGGGCGCCGGCCTAGCAGCGGCGACTCTGTCGTGCCGCAGTTGTTGGCCCACTCCCCGGAGAGGAAGGTCTGACCGTTGTGAAGAATGGCTTTAGACCATTCTTTTGCGGAAGTCCCGAAAGCTTGCGCAAGAGCAATGTTTACGTGAAAACGGATAAGGTCAACGACCGCAGGAATGAAAAACAACAAGACAGTAGGTCTCTGTGGTATTCTTCAAAACTTATGCAAAGCTGCCACAGTGTGCACTACAACTTCTTTCGCGATACTGCCATTTCCATCTATGACAAATCCTTGAACAAATCAGCGCTAATCAATACTCCCACATATACACGAGCAAAAAAGAGCAAGACTCGACCGGTAGTGATTATACCTGTGCACCCACTTGGTCATTCCCTAAAGCCTGACCTCTTCGTCTGATCGCCCCTAACTTGGTCACTGCATTTCGAGGCAGAAGAAGCGGATATTTTTTGTCGCAATACTATTACTGAACATTGTCTCCAGTGTAACTGACAGTCGTTCCAAGCTCGTAAGCGGTTGCTGAATGGAATCGACTCGTGGCGGAACAGTGTCATGTGTCTCCGATGCCTTCTTATAGAATATGATGTAATATGATGTAATATGATATCTCTTACATTACAACATAACATAACATTGCATGGCATATCAAATCTTTTGTTCTCTTTCTTGTTGTCTTGCCCTGGCTTCACAGGTCAGACAAACAAGAATTCAGGGGGACAAAGGGTAACGTCGACAGACAGATACAATGCATGCCTGTCAGGGACACACTTGCCAAATACGCGTAGAATGCTTTGCTGGAACTTCTGCACAAAAAAACGTCGGCTGAAGGTGAAGATGATGCGGGTGAGGGAAACCGGTTGCTGTAGGTCTTGCTGCATCTTGCTGCTGTCGTCGCAGTTGCAGCACAAAAACGGTGCTGTAGTCGTCGTGCAGTGGCAGAGATGAAAACGAGTGCAGCTGGATGAATGGATCTTCATGGACGAGTGGGTACAGCCACACACTCTGTTTCTGAGCTCAACCATTGCTCGCCCAGACTCGACTGTCAACTTCACCTTTTCGACTCAATTCTACTTCCACGCTGCCGACTGTCTCACCCTGGCCTGCACACGCGACGGCAGGACGCCATAATTGTAGGAGGCCAAGTACCCATTCTGGCAACGTGCAAAACTTCATGCACAGATTGGACGAGCCAAGCCGGATCAGACCGGCATAGTACAGCTACAGTACCCAGCACACCAGAGCGTGCAGCACCAGGCTGCCCTCTGGCTGTAAGGCCCGTGCTCGCGAAGCCTGGTCGAAGGCAGCCACGGTATCAAGATCGAGCTGCGCCGCAGCGGCCTCACAAGACGATGGCAATCAGTTTTGTGAGCAACCCGTAGCAGATCTGGTGAAACTGCAACAAATGCAATTCTGACAGCGGGATATGCCAATTCTTCAGCCAGAACCCAGCATTCGAAGCTCGCAGGTGCTCCTTGGCGTCCACAGCGGCCATGTTTCGCCCACGAAGGCCGACAAAGTACAGATGGCCTCAACTCAAGCGGGAAGGTTTCAACCTCTCGCAAAGGGCTGAGCCATGCTTTCCGTCTGTGGAAGTTCACTTTCAACTGCTGATAAGGGCATTGCCCCAAAACGCGCTTGAGCAGGACAGGTTGGTGCTGCTGTACCTCCAGGCAGAAGGGCAGGCATTAAAATAGCCATACTTACAGGATCATGGGACTTAGTAGCTGGGGTTATAATTTCGGTAACTATACTTATAACCCCAATTAAGGTACTTATAACCTTACTTACTAATTCCCATGATCCTCCAAGTAGTATGCCATAGATCGCAACGTCAAATGCAAATGCGCAAAAGCTGAATCAACATGCTGAAGCCGATGCGTCCACAAGGGTTTGCAGCAGGCGCTACAACAAACAACTTATGGGAATTGCACCTATAAGCAGCCCAGTTCATTTACGATCCGGCTGGCTTCTATTCACGACAGCCGGAACCCTGCACAAGAAGCATCCGCATCTCAGCCCCTTGTAGTTCTTGACAAGAACAGCTAGCCGCCACTGCATAACTGTCTATAGGCGCTCGTAATCGGTCCCTTTGTAACGGCTATTGAGGCGAAACCACCGACATGCGGGTCACGGGCAATATTTGTTCAGGCCGGTCCCAGCAAACCAGTTGTGGTAGTACACCTGGCGTCGAAGCGTCGGCAGAGAACCCTGTACAGGCTCGCCCCTGGTTGTGGACAAACTGAAGTCTGCCTTGCCAATGTGTTGCGGTCGATAGTTTTACTTTCACGCTTCGCTACTTGCTTCCGGAATTGAGTTTTAGATGGACCCGTTTCTTACACTCAACCATTACCATGCACAGCAAGCCGGACAACTTTCCCTCTCGTACTGAGCTCACCACAAAGTGGAGCATCTGTTGCTGGTAAAAGGCCCGTGAGGAGGCATTCTGCGTGGACACATTCAACTCGGAGAAGTAGTCCTGACATGATGTCGACCAACGACTCTGCACTTCTACCTCCCGCTCCTTCGGCGCATGCCCAAGCCTGAAATGCATTCATCACTATGTTTGAGCCGTACCTTGGCAGAATTCTTTTCGAAAGGATCGCTACCAAACTGGCAGCAGCTGTTGCTGATGCTGCTGAGCTGAAGATGCTATCAGAAGTTTCTGCCTTCCTGAGCGCCGTACGCAGTGGAAACAGGCAGCTGGTCAATCTGATCCTTTTGCAACAGCGGCATAAGGATCAGCATGACCTGCAGCAGGCAGGCGGCAGATCCTCGACACCTTCTGATGGAATGGATCCACAGACCCCTAACTTGAGACAGAATGTGGTAAACCAAGAACACCAGAACACCTGCAAGTAGGACCTGGACCTGGATGAACCCTGGCGTCTGCAAGAGGCATCTCACTGCGAGCTCCTGGCCAAGATGAGGATGATCACCCGGCGGGTTGTCATCTCAGACCTTCTGCAACGCATGAGAGCTCCGTTTGTCGCTGTCACAAAGTGGAGCTGCAGGCAACTTCCAAGCCAGTGGCAACTTCTTTCCGAGAGTGGACTCTTGATGTTGCATCTCGGCCTTGGGAATGACTCTCGGTACATCGAACGCCGCCTACTTTCTGCGCCACAAAAGCTCATCTTCACTTGCTCAGTGCTGTCCTCTCACACTCGGCCACTTACTGCAGAAAATCCCATGCTTCCAAACAAACATGCCTTGGTTCATCAAGAGCACCCTAAAATTTTGAGCCACGGACAGATACGGCGGCATCTGCAGACGGGAGTTTTTGCGGGGAGTTTCGAAGAAAGCTTTGGGATGGCTCTTGGCAAGAGCCTTGGTGGAGCCAGAATAAAGCATAGTTATTATATATACATACAGACATATCAATGATTTATCATGAAAAATCCTGATAATTGTCTTCATATCAAGAAGAATAACAATCATAACTATGGAGTTTTGCCATGATGGCATGGCTAAGAGACCACACCATGGCAGATTTGGGAGACTACTGGGATGTCAGAATGATATCCTCAGAGCTCTCAGGGTTTTGCCCTCCTACTTAGCAAGGACGAGGCCGCGAATTGCTGAGTGCTTAGTGTTGGGGATGGTTCAGGGTCCCTATCATGTCTTTGCATTTCCTTTACCCCTGGCTTGTCTGCTCTTGCCTTCGAAGCATCTGGATCCACATCAGCATGCTAGCAGTACCCGAGGCTGAGCTTCAACATCTTGACACCACATACTTGATTCCCTGAAAGCCCTGCCTGCTTGGGCCACGTCTTCCTCGTCCCACTCATCATCATCATTCTCCTTGTTCTTTCCCTGCAATGCCTCAGCTCTGCCGACTACTGCATTCATCTCATTTGCTGGACTTGTGTCGCTTGAACTATACGAGACACACCGCTCGCCTAAAGGCTTGCAGCATGCCACCAATACGAAGCCACGCTCAAGCCAGCCACGTCTTGATCAAGCAAGCTTGCACAGACAGCACAGCCCGCATGAACAGCCATAGAACTCAACTGCTACTCCTGTTCGTTTCGTTGCAGAACCTGATCGGGCGAAGGAAATGCACAATGCTACCAGTACCAATCTGACTTTCCTTGAGAAGCTGTGCCAAACCCAAATCCTTGGAAAAGGAGCCCATACTAGCAACAATGATACTAGTCAGAGTACTACTGGTGATGATGCTTGCAGCAACAATCAGAACAACAACACTGTCTAAATGAATAATGATAAGAGTCATAACGATAACTACAATCAACAGCGATACTAGCACCCGTTGGCTTTGCGTTTGCTGAGGCCGCTGCAGCCTGCCGCCGACGCTTGCGCTCTCGGTCGGCCTTTCCGCTTAAGGTTTTGCAAGGTATACTTTTGAATACATGGGTCCTCGGTTTGCGGGAAGGGTAATCTCTGCATCGCTCCATTTCTTCTCGGCGGATTTCTGGTCACTCTTAAGTTACTTAAGGTGACACCTTGCTCCACTATTTGTCCTTTTTTGGCAGGGGCTTTGGGTATGTGCCAGCAAGCTGAAATCTCAAGGTGCTCACAAGACACCAGCAAACTTGAAACTGAACTCATTGCATAGTGTGTTTGAAGTTAGCTGCAGATGGTGTCAGGCTCAGGGTCTATACAACATGGTCGAATGGTCGAATACTGGTCGAATCAATGGTCCCTGCCATGCCACACGTGACAACATGGCACACCAACCAAGCGGTGACTCTATGTCACTCCAAGGGCTTTGGAAACAGCCATTGCCCATATTGCTACTGACTAGGTCCAGGTCATCTGCTGCGCTACTACATCCACAAACGGTCAAGAATGATCATGCTGGCCATGATGCCCATGCACCTTGCCTTTTGGGACTTAAGGTTAGAGGCGCGGCGGCTTGCCTCGTAGTAGGCTTTGTAGAGCTTCAGGATTCTGACCTGCAGCGCAACCCACAGATGGGTGGTTTTTCAACATTATGGTCTCTTTCGGGGTCCTTAATATAATACGGCACCCGATATTTCAGCTCCCCAAAAAGGGACCCTAATTTTGCAAGTACCCAGATAAGAAGCAACGGCCGAAGCACGGGCTGAAGACTGGGACTGACCTGTTCGGATCGGGGGACTGGGCAGCCGTCGCAACCTGGAGTTTTCCTTTCCCCGCATCCACCTTACCCTTTCCCGTGATGTTGGTGACCTTTTGGACGTGGTTGGACGTGTTTTAGGGCCAAGCGGCATGGGGGTGTTCGCAAGTACTGTTCGCACCAGTCGCAAAAGTATAGTCCTAACATGCGTGCACTGCTCAAGACGTCATGCCGCCGCCTGCATGTCGAAACGACACGTGCTGGCAGGAAACAGCACAGGGGATCTGAGACGCCAGCCAATCTCAGCACGCGGACCATCCGTGCCGCTTTGGCACCAACGCGCGCTGTCCTGGCAAGCATGGTACTACTCCTATTCCATCAGAGCGGCACGTCTCAAATAACAGTAGTTGTCTCGGAGCTGCTCTGGGATGGCAGGCAACAACAGCCACACATCCTCAGGGAATCATTTAGGCCTGACTTCCCAAGAGTTGCAGGCGGGATAGCGCAAGAGGCATTTGCACGCGATGCCTTATCAGACCCTAGACGATTTGGGTGGGACCCGCCTGCCGCTTCGCAGGGTATCGCCTCAGAAACCCAGAGCCCGGCTTTCCACTTGTGGTACGCCTTCCAAAGTTGAAGCTGTACATTCGCATAAACACAGGAAGCTTTCGCACAGTGTTCTGTGGCAAGATCGGCACCACGGAAACGTTACCACAACAAATGCAGGCCCAGATGCCCTCTTCCGACGTATCTGTGTTTGTGGTCCCGCCGAAAGCTGCTTCGTTCACCTAGGAGAACCAGCACCCGTCTATCCAAAAGCGAGGCTGTCTCAAACGAGGCTCCAGCCCACGTCAAATCGAGCACCAATGTGGTGGTGGAAACAACGTCCAAAATAAAAAAGAATCCAAGCCAGTAGTCGGCCTCGATCCAGAATCAATCCGAGCAAGTGGGATTCCGAGGAGCACGACTCTGTCTACCCTAGAACCTCGAGAACTCATGCAGTGGCTGTAGTAGTAGCTCCTGATCCTGCCTTGCCCAGGACGGAAATGAAAATCTCGAACGTGAAAATGGCTAAGCAAGCCAAGACCTGAGACAGGTCACACCGTCGAAACAGATCCAGACGACCATCTTGAGCCCTGCATGTAACACTCTCGGAGCAATTTGCAAGCTTGCGGCCATACCATTGAAATAGTTGTCCGCGGGCTTCTCCTTGCTTGCTTGGCATTGCAATTGGCTGAAACCCGCAGCAACATCAACCGAACGTGGCTTGCCAACTGGGCTCCGTTAGAAGCACTCGCAGGTCATCCCCGGTCAGGGCGTAGATAGTCAGAGCCGTTGTGAGACCTTCGGAGAGCGGACAAGCGTAGCCAGGGGGTAATATCAGTTAACATCAATTGCCTGCCCAGTGAAAGAACCCCAGCTAAACATGCGCATGCTGGATGTCTACTCAGGCTCCATGACAGCACACTGACAGCACATATAGCACCTTAAATCGTAGGATCCCTATTACAAGGACCCCCAAAAAAGGACCCCCGACGCTGTTCCGAGGCGCCGGCTAATAAAGGCTGTGTTCTCAACCAGGCGGCCCGAGCACTTCACGTACCATTTCGTGGGCCGGGGCCTGGCCTGCAAGCTTCGGGAGCTAAGTCCCTTTAATGGTTCCTTCAAGGGTTCTATAAGGGTTCTTTAAAGGGGTTTAGGGTTTAGGGTATACTTGTAGGTTCATGGGTAGTTATAAGAGGGGTTATAAGTTGTATAAGTCCCCTAGCCCTAGTATGGGTTATAAACATGAACCTCCAAGTATGTCTTGGTAACTTCAAGCGCGACAACCCCTCCTCCTCACCTCAACCGCACCCTGAGGCTCGGGCATCCTTCACCTCCGCTTTGGAAGGCTTTCTCACAGTCTCTCTTGTTGTTGAACCAGTGGAGGACTTGTTGTCCGACTTGTTGCTCAAAGAAGCCACGCTCGCGGCGGTTCGCGGGGCCTTGACTGGCATGTGCCGAATTGCGTGGAAGCTGGAACCACATCCCATCCTCTAGTTACGCTCTGGGAACGCGAAACTCTACGTATTGACGGAAATAACCCATGCATTCAACCCGGGGCTGGTGCATCATTGGTAGTGGCAAAGGAAATCTGGCTGCTGGCACCAGATGTTCGATGTTGAGGCCTCGGAGCGACTTGCCTTGTTAGGCACCTTCTGCTGTCCTGCGCTGTGGCAAAGGTAAGTAGCAAAAGCCGCTGCTGAAGGCTCTCAGGCTCGCACCGGCGCGGGGGCTCCAACTCCATATCCCTTTTCAGGGTAAGTTTGAAAGAAAGGGTCAGGATTCCCCTCTTCGTGTCTTGTGCAGAGAACCGGCTATGTGTCCCAGGGTCCCAGGCACCTTCAACTGCGCCGGCACATTCAGCAGCTGTGGAAGCGGAAAAATTTGGCGAATGAACACTCGGACAGTGCCTATGTGGGCACGTTCGTGCGGGGATGGCTAGGCTGGGCAATGGTTACGGTGCATGTGTTTACAGTGACTGTGTGCTGACATCTCGGGAAAGCTTCGAAGCTGGGGTCTAACTTCTGGTATTCATGATGACTGTTTGCCAATCCAAACCTCTGTCACCACAAACAAAACCTATCACATCACGCTACGGCACATCATCAGCCAGAAGGTTGCAGACACACATACGGCACCTGCGGTCACTGCAACAAGCACTCACGAGAAATTGCGCCTTCTTCAGCGACCTGAGGCGCGTTACATGTTTGCGGAGATTGCACATAGGCCCGAGCCACCGACAACCTGAACACTAAACATCAAGAAGACCCCGAAACCCTAAACACTAAAGCCACCAAAAAGGTTTCGGTAAGTCCTTCTGGGTCTGCCCAAAGGGCTATTTAAAAACCCAGGCCCAGGCTGGCATGGAGGGCACGCCGAGGAACTTGAACCTTAAACTTCAAACTCCAAGACTGCAAGCACGGCCCCTAAAACAACACCAATCCTAGACCCTGAAGTTCCTAAAGCCTGAGATCGGAACCCTAACGTAAAGCCTAACACGCAAAACTCTTGAACCCCCAAGGCCCGGGTCGTATTCGAATGGACTTCCAGAGCGACAAGTCCTTGGCCCCTATGTCCAGGGTTTAGGGTTTAGAGTTTAGGTTTAGGGTTTAGGGCATTATCCATAAAAGGGATAGCCATCAGAATATCCGCCGTACGAATGACAACAACCATGAAACCCCATAGTTGGGGGATAACCAGAGTTGGTGCAGCTTACCGGAGAACAACCTGAAAATAATGCCATAATGCATCTTGACATGGCCTTTTTTCTCTGACCGGCAGGTGGGCCGGAAAATCATTTGCTTGATGCTTTCATCCGTAGAATGGAATAATAAATGCCCAGCCACTCTAACTACTAAGGCTAAGGCCCCTATATTATTTCTTCACCTCTGTGGTTTCCGCGCTTGGCGTCTCTGCCTTGGCCTTGGCTTCAGATTTAGATTTAGATGACACTGTGGCAGCCGTCGCTGTGACTCCTGCGACCACTGCTGCTGAGGCCGCTTGAATTGCCAGGTCCTTCACCTGGGCTCTGAGGGACTGAAGAACATAAATTTTAACAGATCCACATGAAAGCAAAACAAGCAGAGCACTTGAACGATAGAGGCCTGAATGGTTTCCACCTAGCGTTATGCCAGCTTTCAACTTAAAAAACCCTATTGCAAGCCCCTACATATGCCGCAGGTCCCAGTGACAAGGTCCGCAGGCGTCTCCGGCTCGTCAGATGGCAGGCAGCCATACCACCAGCAGGCCACAAACATGAGCACAACCGCGATGACGAGCAATCCGTTTACAAACCTTGGCTGGCCCCTTAAAGCCTGTGATAGACTCAGACCCACTTAAGCCCAATAACCCTAAACCCTAAACCCTAAGCCCAATAAGGGAAAGTCTAAAAGAATCCCAACGGCCTAGAAACGGACTCACGACACATAGGCCAACTCGACTCCCCAAAGCACGCACGTTCTCTGGAATCTCTTTCTCCGGCACTTCTGCCATATCTGTCACACATTTTGCGAAGTTGTTGGGGCACTTACAGGGGTTCTGTGCCATTGCGCATCCGACTTCGTAGCCTCCGATGACGCCCACATCGCGCAGAACCAGCTTCTCCGGACATTTCCCGTCCTGCGTTGCTTTCGTGATTGCCACTTCCACCTCCTTGGAGCTCAAAGCTGACCCGGGCTCTTCATCGGTCGAGCTCGGGGCTCCGTGCGTGTGGAAGTGCAAACTGGGTCTGCTGGCAGCACTGCCCAGGATGAGGCAGGAAACGAGGAGGCAAACGCCCATCACCTGCTTCACATGGAGGGGTAGCCATTGCTTGACACACAACGCTTCGTGACGGGCAAAGGCAACAACCAAGGTCTTGCAGATGCCTGACTTGGAGGATCATGGGAGGCCCGAGCTTTTTTCGCTTGTTCAATTCAACACTCGATCCTCCGTCGAGGCTGGTTTTGCTTCGCCGAGGCACTAAATGGGAACATGTTCGTCTCAAATATGCGGATCACCACTCACTTCTATTTACTTCAGTTCCTTCCACAGACAGCTGCCACTAGCAAAGGGTCATAGTGCCGAGAAGTGCATGTTCCGTGCGGTGAAACTGCACCCATTTGGGCGGCAAGTGTGCAACGCGATAATCATGTATTACTGCTCTCGTAATCCATCCCGTGTCTGAGACGACACCAATCATGGCACGATGCCGGCGTCACACATGTATCCGTTCGATTCAAAAATCAAATGCAGGCTGAAAGCAAATCGTCCTTTGAAGCTGAACAAAGCCATGACATACAGCAGCTCCAGCAAAGTGCATGTTTGCACGCGCCTGCTCTCCTGCTCTGAAAGTTGCACGGCAAGTTCCGGACACCAACACTCAACACCAACCACAAACTCGAACTTGCTCTTGCAAACAAAGCGCGACAAACAACAGTTCCATGCCCTGCCTATGCTTGGCGTCCGCGTCACGGAACTCGTGCATTCTAACTCTCCCATTTTGTTTCAGGAGAACTTCCTGCTCACGGCGTTTTCCAGTCGAAACTTCACCTGACATGTCGGTAATGATTTGGGGGATTGTCGCAGACATCCACTCCAGAGCCAACCACTCCGCGTGAAAAGCATCCAAATGCTGTGGAGCTTGTCGTCGAGCGACACATGCAGGAACACATGAGCTGGCCAGTTCCGCACGGTCTGCCAAGGCACTTCCAGATGATAATGGTGTGCCTTAAGGATCCCTTGACGACTTCACCGAGCAACCCTCGTGCAAAACCGCATAAACATCAAAATTATCCGGCCCACTCCGAACGCAGTCGAAAGCATCAAGTTAATTCAGGGCTTCTGCCCACGTGTCAACCAAACGGCTTGTCGACAAGCCCGTACACCCATGCAACGAGTCGTCATCTACGGAGTCATCACCAAAACAACACGCAATCACTCCCGCGCTCCCCCAATAGGTTCCGATCATTTTCCTCCATAACGGAACTGTTGGACGCCCATCTCAACAGGCCCAGGCCAATACGCAATGTTGATCTCAGCTTCATAGTAATACATGGTATGTGCAACTTCCGATTTTACTATACTCGGCGACACATCCAAGTTTTGTCAAACAACACTTTTGGCTTGAGAGGTCGCACGCACGAAGTCGTTCGGTCAAACTTGGGCATCCTTCATCGGATGGGCACACCATGCGTCAACTGCTCCGGCCAGCAAGCCACCATCAGCGTTCATTCACACAGGTGCCAGTTTCAGCGCTTCAGCACTGAACCACACTGGTGAGCCAAACACCGAGTTTCCACCTTTCTGCTCGCAACATCGGATGCAGCCCTCCAGTAAAGCAGCTTGCAAGCCGACAGTGGCAGCCTGTCACGTCGTCTGCCCGCAGTAACACAGCTGCTTGCGGTCACAGTGGCGCTAGATAAAAGTTTTGCAAGCCCCTCCCCACACTGAGGCCGGAAGTCGGCAAGTCAAGTCAAATCAAACCGAAATAACCTCCGATTTTTTTAGCCTCAGGAAATCAGGCACGCGGTTGGTTACTGTACATGTCAACGGTCATGCATGTTCTTTGCTGGTAATTTTATTTTTCAAGCGATGGTGTCGAAGAAGAGGCGAGCACCTGAGCGGAAGGCGACTCGGCCCATCCGGCTCTGCAAGCGCGAAGACGTGCTCTCGGGCCACCTCCTCCCGCAACCGAGTCCAGCGTCGTGCCCCCGGCAGCGTGCTGCACCGCGATCGATAGCACCAGGCGCTCGAGGCAGCCGCGCGCAGGGCTAGTTGGGATTTGCATGGACGTGCTCCAATGGGTTTATGCAGCTGAGACGCTGTTTTTTTTATGCGCCGATTTTTCCGACTGCAAGAACATGCCTCTGGCTACGACAATCCTACTGCAACACGTTACTACATGCGGTCCCGGTTTAGGGCCGCAGGGGCAAGCGGCTGGGCGCCTCGTCCGCGGCGAGGTCAAGCACACGGTCCAGTGCTGGGCCGTCGCCCGGCCCCGGCGCTGGGACGGCTGGCCACGAGCGCCCCAATGCTGTGCTTGCAACGGCGAGCTGGACCGCGGCTCCCCACCAACGTCGCGCCCACCCAAAGGACGCGGTGCCACGCACTGCGGGCGGAGCGCGGAGAGCTCGGAGGCGGACGAGGTCGCGAACAAAGTGTTGCGCTGTTGCTGTTGCGTTCCAGCGGCCCCCGATCATCCGAGCCGAGCACCAGCAGCTCTTGCGGGCCGCCCCTCGCGAGCCCTGCTGTGCTTGCGCCGCTCCGCGACTTTCAGTGCCGCTCCGTCCACTTCCACCGTGCATGGATGCGGGTGCCCTGTCCTCGTGAGGGGGGACACCAGTGTTGCGTCGCAGCACAGCGCCCTGCCATTGGCCGTGGCGCCGTAGACAACAAGGTCGAGGCGCCGACGGTCGTCGGTGGGGGGCGCCGGAAGCAGTTGTGTGGGCGAGCCACTGCTGTGGCACGACCTGGCCTTCGGGTCCCACGGCTTCGCGCGCCACGCGGACCCAGGCGCGCTCAACCTCTTTCGCACGTCTGGCCCACAAGCCCGTCCGCAAGCAAGCTAGGGCATGGTCGCCTAATGGGTCCATGGCTCCACCCTGCTCCACCACATCCAGGGCTGGGATAGCTGTGGTGCAGCGGTATGATCAAAAGTTTTATCCATGCCTGTTATTGATGCATCATGCAAAACCGCCACCGTTGCTGTTGAAACTATGATCATGACGATGGTTTCACTTCTGACTGTGTCTCACGGTCGTTCCAGGACATCTCTCTGATGTTTCGCTTAAGAAGCTTAACTATGCAATTCTTTTTTCACCCACGGGCTTCTCGAGCGATCCAAGCGCGGTCCCAGTGCACCGGCAGACTAGCGGCAGGCGCGTGGGCAAAGGTGGGCACGCGTCGTGCAGGACGTCCTGCAAAGGCGGCTCCGGCGCGCCACGCATAGGGTCGTTGATGGGCACCGCAGCCATGACCATGGGTCCCGCATCTGCCCAGCGCTAAAACTGCCCATGTCTCCATACCAAAGCATTCACCGCAGCCTTGGACACGTTTTACTTTCCATGGATGTAAACTTTGGCGCCATAGCACACTGTGTGCTCCAATCAACTCCACCGGGTGGGACAACCAAACGTTGTCGCAAATGGCGGAAACCAATCTTCTGCAAACGCTGTGTGTGCATGCGCGATGTCAAGAGACAAAGCATGCCACAAGCCCGCGGTGTCGGGCCTACCCCCCGTCTACCGGCAATCAGGGACCAAAAAAATCTTACAGGAATGTACAGAGAGGACAGCTAGCCTATCGAGCAAGGCCTCGGAGTCTCGCCAGTGTCGACCCGAACGACCGCCACTTTGCGGCCTCCTGACCATCGCTGCCCTCATTCCTGGTGCAATCTGGTGCACAAACACCGTCTTTGCAGGAAGTCCCGCGTGAGGCGTGCCTGCCTGTGCCCAGCTGCCGGCTGGCTCGCTGAGCCGCTGCAGCCCCGTACTTCGCAGGTGCACTGGCACCGCGTGTTGCTCAGTGACGAAAAACTGGACGCTGGAGTCTAGCTCACACCCGTATAATCACCCGCACCCACTGACACCACCTTCTCGCTGCCGCCTGAAGTCATGCAGTTTGCGCTGCGACGACGCCTCCGCTTGCATTTGTCCGTTGGCCCCGGGCGCTGCAGGCAGGGAGGCCACGGTTGTCGACGGCGGTTGGATACACGCGCTGGGTTGCATGCGCAAGGGCTTGCTGGCTGGACGGGCGAAGTTGGTTGAGCGAGCCTGGCTTGCAGTTTTTGCCACGAGCACGGTCAGAACGGTGAAACAGGTGGTTGTGTGGTGTCACACATTGCACAACACTTGTCACATCTCATACGCCCCTGCAGCTGAAGCTGAAGTTTTGGCTTCTCCATTTGCGCATTGCATGTACTGAGACGCAGCAAAATAACCGGGCCTGAACACGCAAGTTTGCCGAACACACGCATGAATATTGATATCTCTGCTGTGCCCAAACTGCCCAGGCATCAGATCATAGTACAGGCAATGTATGAGCCACCGCAAGTGAGCTGAACTCTTTCCCACAACATGTCCCATCGAATGTTGACCATTTGTCGGCCGTTATCGGCCAATATGCTGGGTCGGTGGCTTCGCTAACCGCAACCGGACTCGGCAGCCTCACTCACTGGATGGCAGAAGGGGAACAGCGCCATGATGACGCCACACGGCCGGAGGGGGCGAGTGATCGCGACGGCAAACATCACGCGGGCTAGGATACCGCGACATCCAACGGTGATGCAGGGAGTTACTGCAACAGTTGCTTCGTTGCTCCCACACTTCGTACCGGTGTCCACACCTTGGCAGTTCCTGTGCAGACCCAAGTCCAGGCCAGCTGCGCGCTACTGTGTTTAGGGCATGCGGCTTGCAAGGGGCGGCTCCCAGGAGGACTCTGCGAGGATGTCGCTCAGCAGCGGGGACTCTCGATCGACTTTGGCTGTGCCGCCGAGGGGGAAGGAGAGAACGCTCGCTGCAAAGGCGTGGGCAGCCGCGAAGGAGAGTCAGGCTGACCAGCGAGAGGCAAGGGCAGACTTGCAGGGGCTCCAGCGGCCACCGAGCTCGAGAACGAGAACGACGAGCTTGCATCGGGCAGGCTGTCGGAGCTCAGGGTAGGTGCGCTCCTGGGCTCTGCGCGCGAGTGCAAGTGCAGCGCCGGCGCTGTGACCAGCAGCCCTGCGTGGAGCACCAGCAAAGTTCAAGGGGGACACGAGTGTAGTGTCGACTGCGAGCTGCGAGACTTCCCAAAGCGCAAGGCCATTAGCTGACGTCGATGCGGCGCTCATCTTGCCCGCGACATCAACGTTGAGGTCACGAAGCTGGACGTTGAGGAAAACAGTGGCTCCGCCCGGCAGATACGGGCGGCAGCGCTTGCATCGCCTTGCATACGTTCGTAGAAGCCATGCACATGATGTGCGATTCTGGGTGCCTGGTGTGGTCATCACGACTTCGTCGACGGGCGGAGTGCTCGACATCGTGGTCGAATCTCCAATGCACCGTGTCGTTTCTGTGCATCAAGTGCAGATACCTTCACACATGCATTGACAGATTGCCCGGCTCATAATGTAGCTCGCCGACGCTGGTGTCAGCAAACTCTGAGGTGTCATTGCACACGTTGTTTTGCACACACCCGGCAATCGCTGTGTGCCATGCAGCTCCCGCGTGTGAGATGTGACCTGAGCCGTAATGCCGTCGAAGACAACCGTTTCAGTCATGTCCATGTTCACAGTTCGTTTATGGTGTTGATTGCTTGCTTGTTGTTATATGCTCGGATGCTTGATGTATGTGACAGTTGAATGTTAACATCATGTTTCACATTCTGACCACAACCCTTGGTCGTTCAAGGACAAGCCTCTCTCCGTGAAGTCGGGTGGTGGTTGCTGCTTTCAACATGGTGACATCGAGCGACTATTTGGCGATGAGACAGCATGTGTTATGTCGTGCCGCCAACGGGCGTTTCTTCGTGAAACACCTTCGGTTTGTGCGGGGGTGGACCAGCACTGCCGTCGTTGCGGGGAAATTTTTCCAGAGCTTCGCAATCAGGAGACACGCAGCAACTGTTGCAAGCAGAGACCTTCTCAAGCTGATGTTGCGACCCTCTTGGATCGCTACAGGCACCCGTACCGGTTGTGCTTACGCTTGCCCACCACAATCCGGGTGCCCTCTTGCAGCTGCGTGCCCACATAAACAAGCTGATTCGGTGCGGATTGGAGGGCTCGCCAGCTCGGTGCACAGGTCTGTTGAAATGGCGGTACAAACATCCTAATAGACACCCTGGTGCAAGTTTATGTCTCCATCGACACACCTGCGCTTCCGACGCAATTGCATGCCTTCCAACCGTTCGGCCCACTAGTTTGCAGTTTGCAGCGGGAGGAGACCACATTCGGAGTTTTTGTTTCCCCGCCGTGCTGTCACTGGTGGCAAACTATTTGCGTGGTTCCCGCCAGCTGGGATATCTCCGTGGCTGCTTCGCTACGAACAGATTTTGTTGCGCTGCCACGTTTGTTTGGGTCGCATTTGGACTCGACTGCCATCGCGACCACGCCTTCCGTTCCTACAGAAGCAGTTTGACTTTTGCATTTTCCCCCAACAAACCACAACAGACCCCGTTGCATGCTCGCTTAATTGCAGCGGCAAGACCATTAATTATGATGTTGAAAAGAAAACCATTGAGAACTGCTCTTTTTATAGGATCCTTAAGGGAGGGGGGTTCAAGGGGGGAGGGTACTAGGGAACCTTAGGGAGCCTTAGGGAACCTTGGGGAGTACTAGGGAGAAAAAGGAACTATTGGGTTATATACCCCCCTTGGACCCCCCTCCCTTAAGGATCCCAAAATCTTTGGCCAATACCATCCTCGACATCCCACGTGTCAGAAAATTGCAATCAAAACGTACAGCTGCTGAGCGATCTGAGATTAAGTCGTCGATCAAATGCTAAAGATCATTCGAGACGCCACGGAAGCCGCGCAACATTTGGCCAGATGGCTTGACCGGATGGCCAGCTGACAAGACCGACTCGCTGACGAAAAACTCAAAACACACCACGGGCAGCAGTTACATGGAGTCCTCCCTCATTCATCCTTCTCATCGTGACAACCAGCGCAACACCACAAACCACGACGTTGAACGATGTGCAAGTAATCCAAGTCATGATGAAACTAAGGAATATCGGGGAGGCACTTGCAGACGTTGCTCCGCCAATGTCTGGTCAATGTGCGGCAGCACCGACGGGGACGCGCGCAGCTTCCGCGCAGCATAATGTTGACCTCATTTTTATAATCCCCCCCTCAAATACAAAACTCCACCCCTGGAACTCAATCATAAACCCCTCAATTACGAAACCCTTAGCCGGGAACCCCAAAAAAAAATAGCTACTTCTTGTGCCTTTAAAGGCCGGGAAAAGGACAGCAAGCTTTAGAAACCAAGCGACGACGGACCCCCCTCAATAGTCAATCCCCCCCACCCGGGCCGGCAAACAATCGGGGGGGGGGGGGGGGGTATTACTAGGAAGTGAACATTATAATGGGCCAGCGGGCGCAGAAAACTGGCGGCCTCACTCCGAAGAAGCTGGCCGAACTCAACGGCAAGGACAACAAGGCGGCAGTGGTGCAACAAGACTCTGGCGACATCTGCGGGGCGTGGCCCAGATTTGGGATTTTCACCGAGGAACTTCGCATCTCACGAGCTTGTCCGAGCAAGGAGGAAGGCTGCAGCATTGCAATGCGGTGGAACTCGGGAAACAAACCATCGCCCCAACGTGTTTTTGTGGTTGTGGATGGTTTTGGGATGGTTTGGGTACACCCATCGCCCACCCACACTGTGTATCCTCGCGAGCAGCAGCCGGGATGAGCGGCGAATGAGAATACTTGCTACGTGTGTAGCTTCTCCGGGTGCCGCCGCCCGACACAGTGGACAACTGGACAACGCACAAACCATTTTCCCCCCAGGTGTCGCCTCATGCCAGCCTTGCAAGGACGAAATCGACGCGGCGCGTGCCGAAAGGAGGATGCGAGCGAGGGTCCGCCACCCAGAGGGCCGGGTGGCCTCATCGAACGTATCCGTGCGAGGCTAAAGCGAGACGATGAAACATCACCAATGTAGCGAGTTTGCAGACCGCAGAATGGCGACGTCATGCGACGTCCAAAGCAACATGAAGAGGCGGGTCTGGACGACAAGATTTGGCACCATGACGTCCGAACACACAAGATTGGGCCATGGAGATTCCGCGTTTGCTATTTGCATCTTAATTTCCTTCAGCTGCCGTCGTACGGAGCACTCAGCGTTGAGAGAGCCGGGGCAGTAGGGGCAGTCATGCGGAGCCTGACCTCATGCACGAATAGATGGCCTTCCAGCGTACATCCTCAGACGAGCCTGGTTCGAACTGCAGTCTTACGCAGCTTCAACAGATCGAGAACGTGGACCCGAGCCCCAACAAAAGCGGCGACAGATGCGACAACACGGTTCTATCTACGAGCAGAACACGAACATCTGGAAAGATGCAATAGCAGAAACATGCAGAAACAGCACGTCAAAAAAGGCAGTCACTGGAGACTTCGACAAGAAGTGTGGGCAAGGCCGCAGAAGCAACAAAAAATCTCACAAGCATGCTCCAGCTTACATGCATCGAACTGTATGAGGAGTGCCAAAACAGGCGCTACAGCAAACCTCAGACGTCAGTTCCAACGCATACGAGGGTCTTTCGATTCTCGTCTCGAATCCTGGCCATTCCGTTTCCACGCTCTGCAGCACTTGGCCCGCCGCCCACTATTGAAAACAGAAAGTGCTTTACAACAAGCTTCGCACACGGGAGAGGTCTGAGTCCTTCGGCCAAAACACGTCCAAAGCAGCGGCCTGCCTCATAGCCACATCTTCCAGTGGATCTTCCCGGAAAGCATGTGCTTGGGCGAAACCCTGTCGTTGACCATCTTCAGACCATTAAACTACAAGTGTTGTCACTGTAGGTGTACCCCGCCATGCCAGATCATGACACCATGCTGCCCTAAACCCTCTCCTGCTCGACGATGATGCCCGCGTCCGGTGAGTCTGCCAGGAAAGCCTTGCGCACCGAACTTTCCCATGCCGTGATCATCCTTGTTGTCATGAGACTTATAGCCTGCAAAGGTTCCTGATCATATTATGATATACTATAAGATACGATGATACACTATAACATAATGTGATGCAAATGTACGACATTTTTTCGAGAATGCACCGTAATGTACTATAATACGCTTTCACATACTATGATATACTAAAATACGCTATAATGTGTGATACTATCATACACTATCGTATACTATTACCATCATATATTTCCATATCAAATAACATACTATAGTATACTGTCATATGCTACAAAATATACTTTAGTATACTCTAATATACTATGATGTGCTATAATATGCGATCATGTAGTATACTGTACTACAACATGCTACAGCAAACTGTAATATGATTTTACACACTAGAGTTTGCCAGAGTATATGTACCATAGAATGCCCTCGGAATGCGTAAGATAAGACTTGGCGGGTTGCGGTCCGGGGGAGCCAAAACCTGGTACAAAAGTAGTTTGGGGTTTTGGAGGGCTCTAGTCTTGAGCATTCCGAGGCTTTTGGGAACAGATCTATGTCGGAGAGGCTTGTGTAAAATAGTTCCCAAATATAGTCTTACGGTCTTACGCATTCCGAGCTTGTTCGGGAATAGATATATGTAGGGAGAGGTTAGTGAATAATCGCGTGGAGATATACTCTTAAGCATTCCGAGGGCCTTTGAGAATAGGTTTAGTCTAGCTAGCTTAACATCAGGGTAAGGAGGCTTGTTTTGTGCCTGAAACATAGCATGTAGTCGAGGTACGCTGAATTTAGCGTCATGTTTCCTAAACGAGGCCGTCGGAAGTTCAGTTCTGCGAGTGCGCTGCAGCTTATCTCCAGCGGCAGGTCGCATGGCAAATCAGTGGGGTAGTGCGGTAGTCTAAGACACTAATTACGAGTTATATATTCTGTTACTTACATACTGCTAACGACAGTGACAGAGAGCTTAATATGATTCTACACACCACAACCTGCCAGAGTATCTGTATCACAGAATGCCCCACACCTAAACCCCAAACCCTGGCCCTTACCCTAAACCTCTGAGCCGGGACCTGCGAGCAAATCCCCTCAATACCCTCATGTTTGTGACTGGGAGCCTCCGGCGCCTCGGTCTTGAAGCCGCCGTTACAGCCTCGGCGTCTTTGTCTGCTCTTAAGGCTCATGGAGGAGTCATGAGCATAGTAGATTATACTATAACAATCGCATATTACAGCATACTCATAGTATAGTATCGTATTTTATGGTATAGCACAGTATTTTTTAAATGTCTGGCCATGTCCGTGAGTTTGGAACTTTGAGGCCACAACACTTTCCGAAGCAACCTGGCAAGAGTTTGCAAATGGGCGCTGCCCTTCGGAAGCCTACGTCACCAAGCTGACGAGAACTACAAATGCCAACCAGCTGCCGGCTTGTGGGGGCTCTGCATATCTCCTTAGCGGGGGTGCAGACATGAAACCACACATCACCATTGAACACAAACCCTTCTCTTTTCTTTGCCAGGGAATGCAGTCCATCCTGAGCATTGGGCGACCATGCATTGATACGTTCATCTTTCAGCGTGTTGATGTGGTCAACCTAGCAGCTCACGACTTTCGCATCACCCGAAGGTTGTTTCTGCTGCGACTCTGGGCCTGCATTGGTTCCCACCTTGCAGAACACTTCAGTTAGGCTGACAAATCTCAAAGAAAATGACAAAGCAGCCATTCTGTGTCTTGGGAGGTCGGCTCCCCTTCTGTGACGGGCATCAGACACACGTCATCCTCCTCACAGAGCACTGCCAACAGTCTTTGCTCGAGTTGAAATCAATCGAAAACATTTTCGGCCTTGAAGGGATTTGTCGCCTGCACACAAAGGTTCACCCCCATGCTGTCTGAGCATCTCTCGGCTGCAGTGCACAATCTTCGCGTAATCTCATCGTGAATACTTGATAACCGTGGTTTCCAAAGACAAAGCCATGTGAGGCTGAGATGAGAACTGCCACATGTTGGGCAACATCGGCAGATGCAACAAGACATAGGACTTTTCGTTTCATGTACTCAGCGCGACTCCAAAGCAAGAAGCGCAACATGGGTCAGCCCCCGAAACAAGTAGCAGCGGCCTCTTCGTGAGCCTTTGTGTCCCTTTCAATGTCCTTACATCAAAACTGACAAACGGAAGGAAAGCCGCAACTCTTTTAAAGAACAGGGTAATACTTTGCCGATACCGAACCACGGAAAACTGAACTTTACCAAGGAATCGAGATATACGGCAAACAACGATTGTCGCTGCTTTGCACGCCTTTGGCTGATTGGAAACAATGCCCGACGCAATGTATTCTGTTTCATTTTGGCTTTCTGGCGCTCGACATGGCGGTGGCGGCTTGAGACTTGTCCTTGAGCTGTTGTCTTGGATCATCCATCTAGCTTCTTCAATCGTTTCAAGGTCAATTGGAAGTTATAACCTCGTGTGAAAACATGTAGCTTTCATTTCGTGCTCGTTTGCACTTCGCTAACAAACTTTCTGGTGCACGCTGTCTCACTAGCCCTAACAGTCCTGTTGTTCTGCCCTTCCCTATTGTCGGACATTGCCTGTGAGCAAGGACTCTAACAAACACCGTGTTGTTTCGGACTTTTGTTGAATCCTCCTTACGTGTTTTGGTCGGTATACGTCTGTTGACATCCTGAGCTCACGAACGTGTCGTGAATGCGTGTCATAATATGATACAATATATTGGGGCGGCATTCAGTATTTTGACGACAACTGTCCTTTCATTGTTTGGCTGTAATTTGGAATAATCTCCAACTAGTAACTACTAGTAATGGCAGTGTAACTGACAGTGCTGTCAGAATGAACAATTCAGCTGACCGTCAGCGTTGATCTGCTCCATGGCTTGGACAAACAAAACCATCTTTTGGCGCACATTCAACAGCCTTCTCGCACCCAGAACCTAGGCTTGCGGCTGAAGAACTGTTGGGCGAAGAGTGATTGTTAAAGTCGTACTCAGGTGCTTTCAAAAAGTTGCTGATCAAGCTTGAAAAATGTTTGCCGGTGAAAACAATTAAACATCGCAGTCGACACGGGTAGTCTCTGCTGAACAACATGACATTTATCCTTCTAAACACCGTCTCTGTTCTTTTACCAGGTTATTATCTCGTTTTGTCTTCGTGGTGTGGTCAAAAACGTGGAGATTAGGATGTGTGCTCGGTTCAATCTGCAAAATGGCATTTGGTCAAACAACTTTTCGGTTTTGAAGGATCAACACATATTCTGATTCTACGTGTGTGTGTGTGTTCCTGATGTTCAACTTTCTTCCGCTGCTTCGAAAAAATCGCGTGATTTCGGTTGTCAGTGTTTGTAGCATTCACAAAGCACCCGAGTGTAAGCAGATGTCCCGTTTCACAAAAGAAGGCTACCAGCATGGGCCTCAAAGACAGTACTTGCTGCACTCGGTCCCAGTAAGAAGCAATAAGCAACAAAGAACAACAAGAATGAACTAACACCTGTACAAAGTGAAACAGAAGCATGACGCACAAACTTGGCTGGAAAATTCGTTCAGCATGAATTCAGTGCATGCGAGCCTGCGAAGCATCGGCCTTGCTCCCAAGTTGGCAGCCCGAAGTAGACCCTACGACTTCACTTTGCGGCACTTCTTATGCCAGCGGAAGTCGCTACTGTGAATGCAACGAATCCTTTACTTTGAACGTTGACGGCTCTTTCCACTACCGATGGCCTGAAATTGAACTTGCAGACTTTGGTGTGCACGATCGGAACAACAGGACCTTGGAGTCGTCTGTTGTTCAACGGAACTAGAAGGCGGTGGAGTCTTGAGGCTTGAAGGGCTTGAATGGGAGCTTAAGGGGAGACTAAGGGAGGTTTAAGAGAGGGCCTTGAAGGGAGGCTTGAAGGGAGTTAAAGGGGGAAGCTTTAAGAGAGCTTCAAAGGGGGCTTCAAGGGGCTGAAGGACAAAAAAAACGGGGTGCTTCAAGGGCGGCTAACTCAATGTTCAAACCCAGCGTTCAAGAATCTGAACTCTTTATTAAAATTCCAGAACCCTGGATTCAAACTCTAAGTTCCAAGGAAGCTTCAAGGGAGCCTGAGGACAAAAAACTAAAACAAAATCCAATCACCAAAGAAAAAAAAAGAAACTAAACAAGTCGCTTTGTGATGTTTTTTTCGCGCAGAAAATGAAAAAGAAAGAAGAAGAACTTCTGAAACAATTTGCGAAAGAAAACAAGATGAGAAGAAGATGAAACAAAACGTAATCAATTGCTGACCGTTTTATCGGCCGTGGTGTTGAAACATGGCACCTTGTCGTCTTTTTCATGCCTTTCGACAAGACACGACCACCAACAAAAGAAGAAGTAAACTTATATATGGTCAGGCGTCTGGCGTTCCCAGCCCCCACCCTCCAATGGTATGGTCTGAGGGGGGGAGTCTGGCGTGTGCGGAAAGGGGTTGGAGGCTCTACCATTGGATGGTGTGGTGCTGGCGGCCACAGCTCACGTGGAAGCCCTTAGCAAGCAACTGCAGGTAGGTGGGGTTTAGGTTGGGTGCAGCGGATTGAGAGATCAAAACGGGGGCACGCGCGGCGTTATAGAGTTTACGTCCTCTAGCCCAAAGCGGAGCATACACCGCAAATCTCTAAGCTCTTGTCAACTCGAACCTTGTCTTGCCATGCTCTCCAAAACACGAACTTTTTTTCACTCTTTGGGCACGAGTGGAAGCATAAACTGCTATTAGCTGGGATGATGAAGTGTGAAGTGCTGTCGACGGTGCAGTTCACCCTCTTTCCTTTTGCATTGACCTTTTGTAAATGCTCCCAAGGGTGAATCTGTCCCCAGGGGTTTCCGATGGTTTCCGGTCTGGTTTCCGTAGTTTTGTATGGGTTTCATGGGTTTCCTGCGGTTTCCTCCAAGTTTCCGAGCGTTTTCCAGACCTTTGTTGTGGTCTACTTTGGTTTCCCATGAATTCTAGATGGACAGGCTTCTCAAAAGTGAGTCTGTTTCCTC